GTCTGATTCTTTTAATTCTCAAATTCTTTAGTAGGGATCTTTTTGAATTCAATGAAATGTATTTTTTAGAGAATGATTAGTGCCTTTTATAGCACAAATCTGATCTTGTATTTTCCAATGGTTCCTTCGTGGCAGCGTTTGTAAAGTTGGCGCCGGTAATTTTGGCGCACCCTGTAGTGCCTGTGTGTTTGAAATCTACAGACTCACGTTGACTTCAAATCCGCAGGCACTAAATTACGAGACATGCAGAAAAATTAAAGCTGCCAAGTAGCCTCTACCCGTAACAGGCCGTCAGGCTTCAAATCTGTGGCTACTGCCATAGCTGACTAATGCTCAAGACATCTACAAGACATGGCACAATGTTAGCAGTAAACAAAACTGGCTAAGTCTGCGCGGAAAGGAAAGACTTCAAAGTCTCTGCTCTAGATTACGGTCATTTTTTGAGTGGAAAGCTCGATTTACGTTCTGACAAGGGAAAGGTCCCAAGTAGAGACGGCGAACTAGAATGAAACACATATAGGGATGCGTTTTGATTAGCTGAATCCAAGTATACTTTCCAATCTGTGACGTGGACTTTGGAGAAGTTATGGGCATTCAAAAGTACAAATCTGGCAAACATTCAACGTCACATTTTCAAGAATTATATTTCCAAAAATTATTTGTGTTTCCAGTATATGTGAGCATTCCTTAAAATCAGTGCACTCATCATTATGCCAGTCATGCATTTTAAGTTGGTTTTAAAGCACAAGTACATCATGCAACCCCAATGACTTCAAACTTTTGTCCGCTTATAACCTCTTCCAAAACGCATTGCAACTATACAAGGTAAATTTCGATTCTCAATAATATGCTTCCATACCAGTTTGTCAACTCGGCTTGGAATCTTTCCTTGCGATTTTTTACATGAGTTTCTCGAAATCTAGGCTTAATCACATAACAATAGTGGAATTCCATAACTAATGCATGTGAGCTCTCCAGAGCTCATCACGGTTAAAATACTCCTGCAAGGTTAAAGGTGATTCAGCCGCCTTTTCTTTCTTTTTGTGCATGTTGCTGCTTAGAGCAAAACGCTGTAATATCGATATTTCTTGCAGAAAACTTGTCTTTGGAACAAAATCGCAGTGCTTGGGAAGTTACTTTTTTACAACCTAGTGGAATGAACGGTCAGAAAACAAAATCACATATAAAGTGTTATCAAATGCCGGTGGCGTACCGAGGGGATAAACGCCCCTCCTAATTGATACAATTTTTGAGTTTTTAGAAATCCAATTTGGCCTTATAAAAAAATATTTTGAGGACGTGGCTGCCGCCACGCCCCCTTCTCCTGAACTTTCGGGGTTATGGGCCAGCAAAAATTTGAGAAAGCATACCAAAAAAATTTTTGGAATGCGTGGGCGCTACGCACCTTCATCAGAAGAAGTTGTCCCCCCCCCCCGAACGTCCGGTACGCCACTGCAAGCAGGGTACATACAATACCGCTTATAACTGTCAAAGAAATTGCCGCACTCCGCTGGAGTTCAACAAAATCAGCATCGCATCGCCAAATCTTGCTTCAGACTGGATGAGTTATAAATGCAAAGGTACCGTTCGACTTAGCTTGGCGAGGCGCATCGTGTGATACATAGAAGTCTCCGCCGTATACCGTAGTGCACGGTGACCAATCAGAGTGCAGATTTTTGCATACAGTAGACTCAGTGTGTGCTCATACACCCCACCTAAACAAAATATAGTAGGCAAAAATCTATGAGATCTAAGTGCCTGCCTTTTCCGAACCGACAATTCTATACATCAGAAGGGCTGACTCGAACGGCACTTTTGAAATCGGAAATCGTCGAGTGCGGAGACTTTTTTGATCAAGGCCAAGACCCATTCGAAATTGATGCATGGGAAAGTTGAACAAATGGATAAAGTTTGACGAAAAGGAACAATAAGTTTTTTAAAAACTATAAAACAATAGAAGAACCGATATCATTATCAGAGCAACAAGGCCATGAAATAAAAACAAATTGAGGTAATAGAAGAAACGATATCAAGTCATAGCAACAAAGTCATAAATAAAGCTTGAAATGAAAGGATGTCCTCAGATTTTTCAAATTATTAATAGCATTGTACAGGGCCGGGTGAAAGCCCTTGAACACGGTAATATTGTAATCACGAAACTAGGTACGATGATTACATGGATCTCATTTGGTGCGAACGCAAACTCGAAGACGCTGGAAAGCTGTCCACGGTGGCACGGAGGTACCTCATTTCGATTTCCACGCATTCTAAAGAGCACTCGCAGAGACACCACAGTTTTGCGTTGGCAAGTGCAAGTTTTGACTTCAAACTATCCGAAGGAAAACAGATCTGGCGAATACGGGGCCATCCTATGAAAGTAATGAAGCACAATGAAGGAGCATAAGTTCTGGAGCCATGCTTGAACAACCTTGGCCTTGTGCGCAATTGTGATATCTTGCTGGCAACACAAATCTCTTTCGGTAAAGTGGGTAATGGTTTAGACCAACCGTTCGTTCTTCAATATTCTTTCATACACGTAGTGAAGAACACCTTGATGCCCTAAGGCACAAAAATAGTGGCGCCTTTCCGTAGAAAGTGATCGTCGCTCAAACCATCATATAAGCCTGATATAGCTTACTTTTCACAAGTTGACCCTTGTTATTAGTTTCTTCGAGCAATTTGGTTATTATCCTGTTTTGGTCATTAAGAATCTGCACCACTTTGAAGATTTTCTCGTCAGGAAAGAGTATCGCTCGGTGGCGATGGAGTAACGTTTAACCAATAGATGGCACCTGTGAAGTCGGGTTACCTCCATGTAGTCTTGAAGTGCGTGAGTATTTCGCATCCGGTAGAGCTTCTTCCTAAGGTTCATCTTCACAACGTCCGAGACGGTCCTGTGATGGACAGCTCTGATGCCAGTTCAATTAAGCTTCTCCGCGAATTTCGACGGAGGCGCTCTCGAATGAGTTTTTGATTCTTGGGCGTATTCGTAGCGGTTGATTTCCCATCCCTAGAACGGCCTGTGTGCTACTTGCCTCTTCAAAACAATCACAGTGAATTAGACTGTGTTCCGGGGAAATTCCAAGTAATCGAGCGATTTGCTGCTGAGTCTTCCCGTTCACTGGCATCGTCATGACCAGTTCACGCTCCGACTGAGAAGGCATAACTCCAGTTGGAGTGAATTTATTAACCCAATATTTGGAGGGCTTTTATAGAAGAGTTCAAAGATCATTTACACTGAAGATAAGGTAAGGTGTGATAAGATAAGAAAAGATAACACCCTAAGTTTGTTCAAAACGCGTATAATTGAGTAATTCTGTCGTTCTGAACAAGTGGGAGATCTATTTCGAGTAGGACTAAAATATCGACGTAAGTACATTATTATACACCAACGCAACTGACAAGAACGTCTTTCCAAAATCACTATTGTTTTATTTTCTCTGCAGTATGTTCATAAGGCATCACCTGGGACACATATTTGACTGCACCCAAATTGTAACAGAAGGTAGAAACTCGCCCACGTAATTCAGGCAGTTTGCCCGTAATCGTTGAGTAAACTACAAGCGCTTTATCCTTCTTGTTTTGACAAACTTGGGTTGGACAGATGTCCCGTCTCTATTCCGCCTTTTTCTAAGGACATCAGTTGTTTATAGTACAGTACAAACCTAAATCTCGAATGTCTCATAGAAACACCACAATTTCGCGAAATGTCATGAGATTGCATCACATTGCGATGTGCTTCGCGAGAGACAGACTTCGATACCGTAGGTGTTGAGATTTACTTAGAGCAAGGCTGTGTAGGACCATACTTTATCCGCAAACAGAAAGCATATTATGCTGGTTTCCGGTGCATATATAAATACACGACGGATCACTTAGGCAGCAATCTACTCAGTATTCTTCATATTTGCTTGCACAACCAAGTTCCAAGATTTGGTGTTTTCGAATCTCATTATAAGAATATCGCTCAATCAGGACAAACCTATATAATGTAAACATCGTTTTGAGTCCTAACAGCAAGCTTAACAGTCACAACGAATTTACAACACTTTTCAACTTTTTTTGAGCGTATGTTAACCGACTAACTGACTGGCACATTATTTTTGCAAGCATTGCTGTAAATATGTACAGTTATTTGATTTAGTGGCATTTGAGGGGCTTGAATATATTCTTTTTTCGCGTGCGTTTCTATACACCTACACTTACTATATGGTAAAGGCCACCATTCCCTTTCTGTACAACATATTTCTGTTCCTGCCCCACTTCTATGTGCCAGTTAAAACTGTGAGCTGCAGGCAGAGGTTTTTGCAGGATGTTGCAACCGTTTTGTGCTGAATTTCAGAAAGATGACTACTCAACATCTAGGAATTATTATATCTAGCAACTGAGTACAATGAGTACAATGCACTTGCTCTGATCTCCTCTCAGGGAACTTTCTAGACCAACAGCTAGAAGCTGCGTAGTGAGGAGCATAAGGGGCGGTCCGAGGATCGGGGAGGGGGGGGGGGGGCAACAAAGATTTTCGGGTGTGCGTGGCGTTTGCCGCATTTCGAAGAAGTTTTAGTTCTCCTCGGTCTGTGAGCTCATAACCATGAAATTGTAGACAAAGGGGGCGTGGAGGCAGCCGCGCCTCGGAAGAATTTTTTTACAGCGCCATGAATTCATTGCAAATCTTCAAAAATCTGTTATTCAGGAGCAAAACATAGTCATTTGCACATCTTTATGACTTGTGTAAGTGACTTTTGAAAATCTGCCAATTCTCCGTTGAGGGGGGGGGGAGGGGGTTTCTCCCAATCCAAAAACTAATTACACTCGTTTTTGAGTAGATTGTGACGCACAAATGATTCCGAATGTCTTTTTCTTAAGCATGATCTATATTAGATTGATAACACAAGAAATTTGTAAAAAAAAATGTAGTGCTTTTGCGACAAATGGGAATCGGTACTGAGTAATCTCAAAGACTTTTGAAGGTTGTCAGGTGAACACTCTTGTTTAGCTCAGTGCACTTTACATGATCCTACTATAATCCGTATGATGAAAGCTATTCATATTATTTGATAAGCTAAAATCACGAAGTTATTTCAGTAAACCATGCTCTTCTCTAAAATACTTGTGGTATTCTTTATTGTGCTATGCGCTATCGCATATTCTGCGGACGCACGTCGAAGGGAATGGGAGAGAGATGTACGAAAACTCAGTATTCATCAAAAATTTGTTATTACCACATTTTGCAGTGCCCGGCTTGCAGGAGAGGGGATATGCGTTACAATGAAGACGAATGCAGAAAATGCAGAGCCAAGCATCCCCGCTTTATAAGAGGAGGAGGACAGTTCCGTTGATTGGTTGTTTTGATAAATGTTGATTGTTGAGAGATCTTTATGGAGAGTAGACCACAGATTCAAAGCAGATGCAAAGTACTAAACTAAGATCGAGGAGCGTATCAAGGAAATCAGAGCATCAATGACTGACACGTCCAATGCCATTATGACTTAGTACATTACACTCTCGATTAGATGACTCAAACCAGCGAAGTGGAGAAAACCTTAACCCACTGGCGAGACGCCTAATTCTGCGTGGCGCGCGACGACTTGACATCGCTTTCGTTGTCAGGAAGGTCCTGTAATTAATTACGTGATGCAAGGTTATTTTGTAAACAACTCTAAACATTTTCTTGAATGACGGAGCCTACACGTCCCAAGAGTGAAAAAATTGGAAAGATTATTAATATGTAGAGGTAGTACTGGACCTACCAATAGCATGTCTTTGCAAGAGGTGTGGGCCACCGCTGGTCCACATCGTCGTCAATGGGTTAACAGTAGCATTCGAGCAATCTCAAAAAAGTGAGTTCGGTCAAAGCTCTGCGTAGCTTCAGCTCTAAAGAGTGGTTTGATCGTCAAACTTTGAAGACATTTTATATCGAAACTCTTGCTTACAATCATTCTCAGTGATGACGCAAAGGAGCTCTACTTCTGGAACAGATTTAAGGCGAAACTCTGCCGAAAAAAGTAGCGATATCGGTTGTGATTCTCCTGCCCATAACTCCTTCAGAACTTAGAGGACGGAAAATTAGCACCAGGCAGAATTCAAAACAGATACACAGCTTGAGTTATACAGCAGTCACTTTCAGTTTCAACATCTCAAACAAAATGGATCATTCCTGGCTCCGAGGTTGCCCTTCAGTTATCTTTTCATGCAAATATCTGATAAGCCTTCTTCGCATACCGCATGTGGTTAGAGGTTTCGCTGCAATTTGTTTGCTCGCTACGGCCATTATTCAGCACAAATCTCGATTGTCCTACCAAATGAAATAATTTATAAACTGATAAAGACTTTATGACAAGATTCCATCAAATGACTTCATATGATAAGATTAGAAACCTCATGGATAACTCTCGTTTTTGAGCAGGAAAAAAACACGATTTCATTTCAAAAAAGCAGATATGACATAAAATGCACGTTGATACCATTGAAGAAAGGACTTTTATATCACAGCCGCTGATGAGTCCATGAAAGCGAAAACTGGCTCTTTGAAGATGAGGGGTAGTCAGCCAGCTTTATCAAGTTAGGCGTCGAAATGAGCAACCGTTGCGTAAGCGGACTATAGCTGGAGGTGAGCACGTTGATGTTGACCTGTGAAAAGAGTATTTGGTGGAATTTGATGCACTAACTTCTATGATAAATCTCTACAATATCATCAGACGAATTTTTGTTGTGCCTTCATCTCAAATACGAATATTTTGGCCAGTAATTGAGTCCGGTCGCTTTTGCGTTCCCTACAAATGCTGCAGAGAAATTTTTGTTCACTTTTGGTATCTTTGGAAAGAACACTTCAGAGAATGACATGTAAATTTTCGACTAGAATTTCTTTCCTAATGAAGGAAAGGCGCAGACAAGTATGCCTCCAATTTTCTCATTGTGAGCAAATGTGAAAACATTTTGTTTTTTTTTATCAAAGAACAAATTCGCAGATCACAAGTTCCACTGCTACTCAGTAAATAGCGTGCATCCAGATATCAAATTCAAATTGCTCATTTCTGCATTCATTGCGGCATGGCGAAGCTGAAAAAATCAAAGAACTGAGCTTCTGGAAAATTAGCACTATTGGGGGTGACTGTCCTTTACTGATAGTAAGAATTCGAGTAGTTGAAATGTTAAAAGAAGTTTTGCACTATTTCCCTTCGAATGATTACGGATAATAAACAGCAGGAATTTTTAGCCAACCTAATGTTTATGTAGAAAATTTTATTGATGTTGTCAGTATGATGAGTAGGTTTCGGTTATTTCCCCACCAAAAATCCTTAGTTTTCTGTTTATATTGCTTGCAATTATAGGCAATGTCCAAGACCCTCTTTTTACGGCCTATCAATGACAGACTACCTAACCAGATAACTATGTAAGAACATGCCTTGTTTCCATCCAGATAAAAATTAGAGAAGTTGGGATAGTAGTTGTAGCCAAACACTTCGATAATGTTCAGTGGTGGTATTGAAACAGTCTGCAAGGGAAAAAAAAGACGACTTGATATTAAAGGGTTTAGCACTTACAGCGTCGCAAGAGTCGCAAATTCCAGTCAGAAGGGCATTTTCCATGTTTACCTCAAATTTGAAGGACCAGTGGTGTCTGAAGCATCCCACGTTTGACAAATGAGCAAAAATGATCAACTCAGAGGAGAAGACCGCAATAATTTTACACATTACCTTTTGTGGCTTTCTAGTGTGTCGTACAGATCATCACCTGCGTCCCAGTACAGTTCACCCTAAAACATTGCATTGTATACCACTACATGAGCAGAAGAAGAGCCTTGTACAGACTCCTTCCTTTCTCTGACTCCCAACAACAGACAGCCGGCATACTTATCCAATTAGTCACCTCGAATCCAATGAGAAAAAGGAAGAAGACAATTTGAAGATTTTGTGTTAGCCTATATATGTAAAACACTTTTCAGCTTTTTTCACTTTTTCGAAGTTTCTCAAGAGTGTGGATTAAAAAGTCCGCTTTGAATCTTTAGCTCTAGCTCTAGTCTTCGTCATTTGGATTGCCATTTGATAACTTACTTGAGAGGTGATATTGCTACCCATAGTGATTAGCAGTTCCAAAGGATTACGGCGTGACTGCGTTGTCGTCATATTTGAGGCTTGTCGTGGAATTACGTAGCCTCCTAAAAAAAGAGGAACGTAAGGATAGCTCGGGTGTTTATTTTCGAAACATCACAACTTAAAGGTTTTTTTGTGATTCTAGGTGTTTTCAAATTCACCTCGGGCATAGACGGGCGTCAGTGAATCAAGACGGGCTTCGACGTCTATGTAACCGACATCCATACGAGCCGCATAACTTTCAGTTACTAAAGAATACCACACATCATCCGGAAAATACGCATGTACGGCTGTGACACCCTGTAAATAGTAACTTGCAGACTTAGAATGAATTCTTCGAAACTGACCTCATCTACAGCAGGGGCAATCATCAAAGCAGAGCCCCACATAAATTGATGGTCCACTTCCATCGTCACCGTATCGTGTGGAAATTCAAAGAATAATGGTCGCACTACTGTGTGGCCTTCAGCAGTTGCGGCATAATGGAGACTACAAATCATAACATTATAATAGGTCGTTAACATAAGTATGTCATCCTTTTTTTTACTTTCCTAAAAAAAATTCAGAAACTGTAGTAAAATCTAACATGCACCTGTGGAGCAACGGACAAAGGACTATCAATCGACATCATTTTGGTCTCAATAGATATGGGTTACGGTGTATGTGTAGGCAACTCTTTGAATGCTTTTTCTTCCTTTTCTAAATCTTCTCTCTTAGTTTTTTATGCTCTCAGATTTTCTATGGATTCTCGGGGATGTCAGTTCTACTAGGTTGATGCATAATTCCTGCACCAAAATAGGTACAGACCGCAATAATCCGGAATAATCCTATATCCCAAATAGGATTCGATATATCATTAGATAGAGCAAACCTAGCTCTACAAGATAATTCTCAAATATCTGCACCAGCTTTGATCCACGCGAAGTTTTGAGCCGAAAGTGCTCAAATATCTGCACCAGCTTTGATCCACGCGAAGTTTTGAGCCGAAAACTGAAAAAGACCATGCGTTCGAAAACCTTAAGACCAATCAAAACAAAATTGTAACTTTGTTCAAAAATCTCCTACAGAATTTCTTTTTTGCTCACGCGTAGACATTCCACGTAAGACATCCACCTATGCGGTTCCTGTATTTTTTTTTCTCAGCTAGACGATGAGAAAACGAAGTTTTTCATGTTTTTACCAAATTAGTGCTGAGATGTTATAGCATTGACAGTTGTATACTATGGGAAGTTAGAAGCGTGTGTGTGAATTTCTTGTATGCTCTTTACAGCAGCTGGTTTACGAGAAATATCGAATTTTTAGCAAGTAGGCAAGAAAAATTTGGATAAGGAGAGCTAGATTCGTCATTTCTCGTGAATTAGCAATTCTAGAAGGCTGAAAATGTAAAGTTTTACTACTAACGGCATGTACTATACAATCATTGGTGCTAGAACATCTCAGCACTAATTTGGCAAAAACATGAAAAACTTCGTTTTCTCATCGTCTAGCTGAGAAAAAATACAGCACCTCATAGATAGATGTCTTACGTGGAATGTCTACGCGTGAGCAAGAAAGAAATTTTGTAGGAGATTTTTGAACGAAGTTACAATTTTGTTTTGATTGGTCTTAAGGTTTTCGGACGCATGGTTTTTTTTTCAGTTTTCGGCTCAAAACTTCGCGTGGAACAAAGCTGCTGCAAATCTTTGAGCACTATAGGGCTAGGTTTTATTTAATGATATATCGAATCCTATTTGGGATATAAGAATTCCTGATTATTGCGGTCTGTACCTACTTTGGTGCAGGAATTATGCATCAACCTATAATATAAAAACGGTTTAGAAGCGTAGGTTCTTTACTAACGCAAAATGGAAATTTGTCAAGAATAATTGGAAAAAAATTTTTGAATTTCAAAAATTGAGATTCATATATGTGATATCTACATAAAGAGAAGCTACACCTCCCCTCCCTCCCCCCCCCCCCCCAAGTAATCTGAAAATGGAAAAAATCGATTAAGAAGTCTAGAGATGTTTATAAGCTCCTGCAAGACGAAGGCGGTCGGTTCGAGGTACGACGTGGCTGTGACGCGGCTGTGACTCGGCTGTGACGCAGCCATGTCGCAGCCGCGTTGCGCATTGAATCGACCGCCTTCGTCTTGCAGGAGCTTATACTTTAAGTGTAAAAAAATTTATTTACAATACCGCTCGTTTCAAAAAACAACGCAAAATCGCCCGATTCATGTGATATCGCCGCGGTGTGACCGCATCTCGCTTTAATAGACGAATTCTTGATCCAAGAGAATCATCCCACTTGGCTGACGCGGCATCTTCTGATATATAGAAGTGCTTGTATGGACACAATAGGAGGGCAAATTCCACGAATCGTTCCAGATTTTTGCTTACAGTAGGTTACCCAGTAAGTGCTATGAATAAGCACATTGAGTGCACACCTGAGAAAGCAAAGAACTGAAAGTCCGTGGAATCTAACCTTCTATATCCAATGTATCCTTCTATAGCACTTCCATATGTGAAAAAGATGCACCGCGCCGAGCTAAATCTAACGGTCCCTTGGGTTAAGAACTCGACCACTATAGAACGAGATTTGGCCACGCTACGGTGATGTCACATGCATCGGGCGACTGTGGGTCATTTTTTTGAAAAACGCGAGCGGTATTGTACGTCCTACTACCTTTACATAGTTTGAGAGTTTCCAGCCTTACCTATAAAGATAGGGTAGATACTTATATCGGAAGCCGAGCGCAATCCGCGCTGCTGTAGCTACCGATGGCCAAACAGCTGGATCTTGTGGTATGCCATCGTATGCGTTGTGATCTCGACAAAATGAATGGAATGCGCCCATCTGATGCCATCTTAGGCAAAGTTCTTCGGTCGTGTTCCCACTAAAACCACAAATATCCGAACCAACATAAGGTAGACCGAACCAGTTGAACTCCATGGCTCCTGAATCAGGTTAACGTGGTTTAAGTCACGGTAAAACAACAGGTTACCGATGATGGAAGTTTTGAGATCGTTCCAAGTAGCATGGTTGTCACCTAACCATGTGCCACCATAATGACCAGACGAGGGAAATGTCGACCGAAAAAAATCGTCATCAGAAACTCAGAAAAAATGTAATTTTGGACATTAGTGGGAGCGTCATAAACTGAACTCGGAGATTTTTGTGAAGCTAGGGTACCTTTAGAAACATTATGCATTTTCTTTATTACAAGAGCAAAACTGTCCAAAGCTCTTTCTTGACTCCCTGTGGAGGAAAACAGGGAATCAAGAACAGAAAATTTTCATCAAGTAATTCAACTTCAAACCACTTTAAAGTAAATTTTGAAAAATGATTCAATTCTGTTCAAAACTATGAAATGATACAGGATCTTGCGGATTCTATTCCCTCATTGGGATTCGGAAAGAGCCCGGAGATCTCATAATTAATCCGTCTAAAGGAAGGAAAAAAATTAAAAACGTGGTTGATTTTCGAGATACACCATGACAAACTAAACTTGTGTACTATTACTATCTCCGTTATATTGATATCACTTCCATTTTATCACCTTGAAATGACCGCTCCCCTCTTTCCAGTCGATGCCGGTAACGCTTGGCTAGTTGCTATTGCTTCTGACAAACCATAGAGATTTTTGGTGTCGAAAAAATTCATGGTCCTTCGAGCAGTCTTAGCCAACATGCAAAGCGTTTTTGTGCATAGCTCATCTGCTGGTCGATTATATACCTAAAGTTCACTTAGGGTTAGTTTGAATATGGGGAGGGGGGGGGGAAATAGACCGATAAACTTACAGCATAAGTCTTGTACGGCGGATTGTCGAGTTCGGCATCTGGGCCCGATATTGGACAGGAGAGATGAGGTTTGGGAGCATCATCAAACCTTAGATAGCTGTTCTGGTAGGTATCCGTATCAAAGTTAGACGGCTCATTCATGTCGATCCACATCCCATCAAAAGGAATCTGAAAATTTAGATTGGAGTATTGGTGGTTTACAAGCCGAATTACCTTATCATGGAACATTTGAGATTCCAAAGTCCACCAATCCTGCGTTTGATTGTTAGGGTCGAGAAAATCGGGAAAGGCTGTGTTCCTATCAGGCCAAACGTTACCCAACATTATCTAGATTTCTGCATGTAAGTTCTAATAGAGTAGGGAGTACTAACCTTACCATGGTATTAGCAGCCATGGGGTACAGCTTCTGAATACTCATTGGAACCTGCGATTGTTTTGCCCACTCGATAAATGAGACATTCTGTAAATTTTTATCTCGCCTTTTTCACATTGTTAAAGAACCATACCTTATCTAATCCTCTCTGGAAACTGTCATAATCCGCTTGAATAGCAGGATCGAAAATCAAGACTAGGTAAAGATCTTTATTATGCAGCTCATTTACATATGCAGCAAAATCAGACCATCCCTGAAAAAATTTTCTACCACTTTTACTCCAACGTAACAACCCAAATGAGGTTGTTCTAACTTAGCAGGTAGAATGATGTAGAAACATTGGGAATATGTACAAATTTCGAAAAACAACTGCACAACCTTGTTGACATGCCTCTTCAGCAAAATTACGAGTAGCCAGCTTATTAAAAAAAATTCTGTCGTGCCCCCTCTGTGGAGATAAATGTCAGAAACGGCCTCCTGCTACACTTCCAGTTCATTTTGTCTTTTCATTTAAATTCTTTGTAGCACCGCCCAACTACTGGTTCTCCCGAAAGTTCTGTCGTTTCATTTTTGAAAGTTTGTAAATTTCCCATCCCTAGTAATTTGTTTTTTTTTTGTGATTTTATCAGAATAAAGAAGTCTTCCTCTTTGTAGAAATATCTCGGTCTTTCACTTTATCCTCGTTGCAGAGACAGAAAAAAGACGCCATACAGGCTTTGATTATTTTGATTTAGGTTGCCAAAAATCTGGAGCAGTACAGAAATATCTGAAACTGTCAGTACTTAAATTATGACTTACTCTTTCCAATAGAAAAAGTATGTGTTGTATGGACGTTTCCTTAAGAACTTATGAATTTTGAGTTTACTAGAGAACGCCAAAATTGATTGATCACCTTTTTCAAGAATCATAACTTTTTACAGAGACATCCAAACAGCAATATTTCAATTACAGAGATTAGTTCATTGAGCTTATGTGCTAAGGATTTTAGATTTTTCGGAAACGTTCCAGATTTCGGGCTACCTAACTGAAATTAAATAAAACCTGAGTGGTTTTATTTTCCCATTTTGTTTCTGCAATGAGTGTATATAGAAGCTCATGAAAATATACTTACAAAGCAGTGGCGGTTGCAGGATTTCCGTCGGGGGGGGGGGAGGGGGAAGGGCAAAAATTTTCTCAAATGAAGATGCGTGGCGTCAACCACGCACTCCGAAAAAATTTTTAGGATGTTCTCCAAATATTTGCGGACCCATAACCCCTGAAATCTGGAAAAAGGGGGAGTAGCGGATCAAATTAGCCTTGTAAAAAAATTTTTACAAGGCTAATTTGAATTTTTAAAATTTTTCAAAAATATTTTAATTATTTGCAGGAATGAACAAGTCACTTGCGTAATTTTGTAACCCATGTAAGTAAATTTTTAAAAATTTCGCGACCCGTTCTTGGGAGGGGGGGGGGGCACGGAACTTTCGCGACAATCATCATTTCCTCAAGGTTAGTCTGTCAGGCAGGTGTGCAAAGCGATAATCTTGACTTCGTCTTCAATCTATACCGATTTTTTTCTTCTCCCACTCTTTTTTCTACAATTTTAATGGCTGGCCTACTCACCGCTCCCACTGTAAAATCTTTATAGCGATCCATATAGTCAATATCGGCAACTGCAATATCCAAAGGGACCCGTGCTGCCTGAGTACGAGCGATGACTTTCTTCAGTTCGTCCAGATCTTTGTAGTTCCATCGAGAAAGCTAAAGTCCTAGCTATGGGAGCATTACTAGGTATTGTATGTGTTTACCTGGTAGCCAAGTGCCCAGTATGCTGGTAGAAATGGAGTACCTATATGCGCCAAATATTGCTGAACCACCTCTTCAGGTGTTGGACCGGGAAAGAATGCAATGTCCAGTTGGCCACCGATAGTACGATAAATTAGGTGAGGAGCTGGTCCTGTAACTATTTCCTGAAAACAGACTGACACATGTTACTCCAAAAAGATAGACAGAACAGCTAGATTGCAACCAACCTGTGCATTAGAGTTGAAGATGAATACACCATGAGCTAGACCATCATTTTCGACACCTAAGAAAATTTCATTTTGTACGGATCAGAGATAAGATACTCACAAATGTAAAATGGATGCACTCCGTAAAGATTCTGTGTGCTTAGTGGACTTGTAGAATCTGGAGCGATGTCCCGAGCAAACATTGGCCATACGATATAGCGCGATAGATCATGCTAGAAAATGATTTTGGTGAATTCATAGTAAATGAGCCAATTTTCTTATGAAAATTGCGAATGATAATGAGCATAAGCCGGGCCCTTTAATAGAGGAATATGATGCTCTGAAATAACGGGAAACTATTGCATTTTGATGATTCAAACAAAAAATCACATAGCGAATTTATAAACGTCTCAAATTACACTAAAAATTCTGGAATGCTGCGGTATAGGTAGATATACCCGCTTTCTAAAGGCAGATACATTCAGATATGAAGACTTCCTTTACAGAATTTATATCATGGTTAGTATTCTATGACAGCAATTCGCTGTATGGTTTGAAACTAGCATGTAATATAGTCATACTATATTACATGAGTTAAACTATAGTAATATAGTTTAACTCTTTCTTTTGTCGTACAACTAGATGGCTCGCTTTACTGCCTACAGAAGTAATCAGTAGTGAAAACTCTTACATATTTCGTAGGAAATTAGAAGATCTCAATGTACGTGAAATAAAAATGGATGATTTTTAGGTATCGCTTGTTCTTACGCTTTTTACTTTTCTTCCTTTCTGGTGAGACATGGTCCCTCCTGATTTCAGTTCAATGTGGTTTCTACAATTCCGGCGTCTTGCGAGTTCGTGTTCTACCTCCAATTACTTGTCATTTATTACTCTTAAAGAACCGGCTTCTGCTCAAGAGGATCGTTCATCTTGTTTGAAATACTTCCGCACTCTTACTAACCATATATTTTGCATTTACTAGCAGATGGTCAGCTCATACTATTTCCCAGGGAACTTTATCCCAGCCTCCAAACACCCAACCTCACACGTATTGAACTTTAGTAATCCAATTTTTCTCCTAAACAATGGTATATTCCCTGTTTGGAGATTATCATCGCCAAGCATATCTTTATATGCTCAAAGATATCTTGCTGACCTCTGAAAACCTTTTTTAATTGGTATTCGCCAGCTAGCTCCCGCCCGTAGGCTCGTTGGCACCCAAAAATTATAGGTGGAAGTTTTCAGAGGCAGCAAGATTGGAATTTAAGTTGATAGTACTATTTGGATCTGCAAACCTATTTGTTAGCAGCACCCTGGCTCAGGGCTCGGCACGAGGTGGCTAGTTGAAACTGCAAAAAACGAAGTCCCCCTTGACTTCGCCACAAAAGTACGACATCCCCCTTGACACGCTTTGCATATCTAACAAACAAATCAAACATGAAAACAAAAAGAATGAAATACAATTCAAAATCGGCAATAAATAGGGAATAAGAACTAGTGATTGTTTATATTCTCCGGGTTGGCGGCATGCTGTGTCCGTCGCGCACCACCGCGAGCTTAGAGCACCTTTGCCGCTGCCATCCGATAATTTGGAGGGCTATAATTAGGCGGGGAGGAGAGGGTTTGGGGAGGTACAAGACCTGCTTTGTAGAATATCAGATGTAGATTACTTGTATGTAAAAAATTTGAAAAAATCATGTGAACAATAGGAATTATATGACTTTGCTTGCGCCAAGCCACCTCAGGTGGCTTGGCGCGACTTCAATAAAATTACGATATCCGCCACGAGATATTCGAAGAGAAAATACATGAAAAGGAATGGAACAAAGCAACAGCAGAAAAAAACGAAAAAGAATCATCGAACACACGCGATGATATTCATATTCTCCGGAATGGCGGCATGACGTATCCATCGTGCAGCAATACGCGCCTAGAGCAGCCTTTCCGCGGCCATTCAAAATTTTCAAGGGGCTATAACTAGGGGGGGGGGAGAAGGGGGTTTGAGGCGGTTTAGGAACCAGTTTGTAGGGTTTGGGATGTAGATGAAAAGTATGTAAAGAAAGTAGAAAAATTATGTGAGGGAGGAAAAATTTATGACTTTTTCTTTCCTAAGCCACCTCAGGTGGCTATCCAGGTGGCTTGAAAGCCACCTAACCCCGAAAAAAGTTTGCCATGCCCTTAGTTCACATAATTTTTTCATAATTTTTCACATATAGTTCCAACTCCCCATTGCCCATCTACACACTTATTTTGGTGCCATTTCATCTTCATTTCACTGTAAACAAAACCTTTGTTTATTTGCTGGCGGCATGCCGGCAGCGTGCCGGCAGCAGATCGCAGGACAGCGTTATGCTCTTCCGCAAAAACGATATCTCCTTTGCTTTTTCCCTCAAAAACGATATCCAGCTTGCTTTGCAAGCCACCTGTGCCGAGCCCTGCCCTGGCTAATCTAAAGCAGAAATTATTGCCTGGGATGTTCCTATACTGCGTTTAATCACTTCTCTTGGACTGCTCCGTGTCCCTTCTGAGTTGGTATGAGTTGCTTATTATTGTTAGTGTTTGCTTTTGTTTGTTTGTTTTTTTCCATATTGGCACACCTTGAGTGTAAAACATAAATAAATAAATAAATAAATAGTATTGGCATCATCTATCGTCACAAAAATTGTCCACTGATAAAAGTTCTAGCGCTGTATAATGTACAACTTTTTTATTGCATAAATTCGGGTAAAATCGAATTTATGAATCTTGACATAAATGCATTACTTAGTTCACTGATTATTCTTCATAATTTTACGTTCTATGTGCAATTTCTCAATGATCACTGCCCAATTTGGGCAAGAGTTAAATTTGAGGGTTAGATGAGATAAGTTTATACCTTCAAGCGCTTGTGAACATGCTGACCAAAGCCGAACAGATTCTTCGACGGCAAATAAGTCGCAATCTGTATGAATTTGTCCGCAAACTGCATTCCACCTAGAATTACATACTTTTTGAGAGTTTGAGACTTTGAACAATATCTAACCAATGGAGGTGTCCCAAAGTTTGGTGCCCGTTGATTTCCGCACAACTCGGAAGGCAAAAACATTAGCTTTTCCAATTACAGAATCCGAAAATACCAAGGAGTCCGCGGATTTTCCGGGGTTTTTGGGAAGATGTATAGGTGGGACATATCTGCAATTCAAAAAATTGCTTCAGCTATAATAATTTTTACCTATGAGATTCCCAAACCTGTCGCTGGTACCAATGCTAAGCAGGAGAGTTGCTCCATTAGGCTTGACTGTAAGATATAGAGGAGAAATGTTTTCACCATATGCGGTTGTCGGATTCACTATAAAACTTTTCTGAGAACTGAACTCGAATATAAGGAAAGGGGGGGGGGCAGTAAAAAATACATTATAAGATTCGCCAGGACAAGCAGGCGATTTTGAGCTTGTGCTACAATGGATAAATTTTCCAACTTCTCCAAGCAATACACCAAGATTGTATTATTCTCTAATGGGACTGGCATTTCCAGTAAATCGCATTTAAATCAGATGAATCTTTGTCCACAGATTTTTTCAAAATTTTCGAAAATGAGCAATTGTTCAAGAATTCCAGGTGTACAGAAATGTCCGTTTGGATAGTTGGCATTTTGCAATACTATAACCATACGATAAGAATAGACTTTATCTTATTATTTTTAGGTTCAAACTTTCATATAGCTTCAAGGAAATTTCCAGTGCTGATAATGCGAAATGGATCTCGCATGATATCGGCAAGTGTTAGAGTTCGTATGGTGAAATAAATAAATAATAAACAATAAATGAAAAATATTGATGTAAATAAATCATAATCAAAATCATAGAAGTGGTACATCTAACAACAAGATCAGATATTTGAGTACATCTGCATATAGATTATAGCATTATGAGGCAAAAACCTAAGAATCAATAAATTGATTGATTTGAGGCAATAAGTAGAAAGGGTTTTGTAAGAGTCCTCTGACTATACAGTATGTGTTGAAGTTGTATACAGTAATCCTATGATTAGCTTAATCAGAATAAATCAAGAATGTCGGAAGAATTTGAATTTTTGCGTAACGGTGCCAGAATTCAAAAAAAGTAAAAATTTTCTAAATTCTTAAGCTCATCAAGTAAGACTAATCACCTGGAGAAAGCTGCATGAAATCACTGCCATGCATATCCACCTTATATCCTAACTCTTGTGAGTAAAAACACCATGGAATGCCTATAGGACTATCCTGAAACAATAGTAACCCATTCAAATTTCAAAAAGCTCTTGACCACCTGTGAAGCTTCCTTCCATACGCAACCTCTGGCCTCACAAGCTGCTTGTGTAGCTCCTGGTTCAGGATAACAATCGACCCGTGAATTCTCATCAACAGCCACCACTTGATGAATAATCAACAGGAGATAAAATTGTACCCATTGCATCTGTAAGTGACATCCACGAACTTGCATGAAACGAGAAAGTTTGAGTTCTAGAGAAGTTGGTAAAAAGCGATAAGACCAGGCGTAAATAACTGCGAGAATTGCGATAAGAGCTCCAATGATTTTGAGATAACCAAGTCGATATTTCATATCAATAATTATTTTCTAAATTCCTCTAATTCATATATTCCAAAGGTACGAAAATCAAAAGGAAAATACACTTTTTGTTCAAGAAGGTTGGAGGTCTTTCTTGAGAAATCAGAGATTTTTCTTCTAATTCAAACCTTCGGATCTCCATAAGACAACTGATCCATTTCTGCTCCATGCCCACTTTTATAAAAAAAAAATTTTGTCTCCATTAGCAGGTAAACAAATCTGCTACCGATAGATGATAAGAAAACAAAGATCATATGACTAGCACGTCAAAATGCAACAATCACAAACAGCTGTGATCTTTGGTCCAGCCAAGGAATGAGATGCTGTATGATTTCAGGTAGTTAACAAGTGATTTTAGCAACATTTGTGCAATAAATAGGCACAGAAAACAGTTCTGAATGAAAGTGATATTTTTAATGATCAGGGTTGAGAAAAAAAATGATTTCAGTCATACTGAGGTGCTTCCTGCACTGCAATACTGAAAACATCATTCCAAAGAACACAAAACTGGGCTAGATTTTTCCATTTTTAAACTGACATGAAATTCTATTTCTACTTCAAGAACGCGGAAACAAAGAAGAGAAAACAATGCAGCGCTTCCAAACAACTATCGATATGCTGGCTCTCGGATATGTGGTGAGCCGTGAGTCTTGCCGTGTGTTTCTGATAGTGTTTCAGTATTGACGTACTGCATCGTCATTATTTATTTGTCTGGCTCAACATTTGCACTCTAAACATCATTTTTTCGATCTGTTGCCGGTGTAAGCACCAATCATTTCAGAAAAACTCTGTGCTACATCGCCAGAATTTGACCGCTTTCAACTGTCTTGATCCTTCTCAGCTTCATTTTTTGAATGTCTCACCATGTAAATTGCAATAGAAGTTTTGTCTAGCTTGCACCTAGTGCCCGGAACGACAAGCCCTGTCTGTGAGGAATGGACTTGAGATGCAAAACACATGATTGTGCCGAGATAAGGCCACTTTTATTCGAGCTTTGTTGACCTTACAAGGAATTCGATTACCCTTTGCTGATATTGTCGCCACCGCAAAGGCTCTATCAAATTTTGAACCTACTAGGGTAAACAACGTATATACACATAGATCGCCATCGCAATAAAGACGTCGATCTGGATCGCCGAAGTATGAACGCACCCTCGCTCTATCATCGGCTCCCAAATTCGTGTGGAGGCGGATTGCGGACTTTCCGTGAATATAAGGTTAAACTTGAACCTCCATGTTTTAGCATGGTTTTCCGTCCCTCGCTAAGTTTACCCTTATAATCAGGGAAAGTCTGCGACCCTCCTCCAAACGAATCGAGGAGCCGATCATACCTCCTCCTCCTCCTTGGGCCCAGGGCATACCTTACACGACTGCAAACGCTTCACGATCCGGCACAGCAACGACGCTTCATAATTTTTCGTAAGCGCACTTTGCCTGGGCCAGACTTGACACTTTCGCGAACTTACAAGCTACATGCCTATGCATACGGCACTCGCACAAGGTTAATCTGTAGACATCTGGTAAAACGCCAACTCGCGCGGATGTAGCGATTTGGCGGAATCGCGGCAAGTATGCCTTAGGCCTTGCACTTATTTGTCTCGTACTAGATGATTCGGAATTCACCCGTTTTCCCACCAAAATTGCTCCGCTTAAAAATAACCATTCAAAGGTGAGCTTGTTTGTATGGGTGTTTTATCCTTCTGTGTGTGGAAAGCCCGCAGTCAGCTCGTCGTCACGATTTTAAAAATGAACCATAATTCATGACTACACAATATAAAAAAAATTAAAAAAGACTCTCACTGCATTAGGCAAGTGTCAAAACGGGAACATGCGAAGGAAGCAGCACTCATTCTAACCACTCATTTGTTTTCTAATGCTTCTTTTCGATATTTCAAGACATTTTTGAATGACACTCGCGATCCATGCGCGGAGGAGGATGACACGACTTGATCAATAAAAATCTCAAATTAAGAGTTTCCACCGCAGGAGTCTATTTCGCGAACACTTTTTGCAGATTTATTGCATATATGTCCTAGATCTTCTCTGACACTATGCAGTATAATTACACTCTATACCTAGTCTTCTTCAGCCACGGACTCTCCTTTGTCACCTTCTACTGCACTGAATAGCCTCAATCATGCAAAAAAGGACAACGAAACTGACCGCCTATGAAGATAAATAGGGTGGATTATTGTGGTATGGAGAATAAGAGAGAGAGAGAGAGACAGAGTAAAAAGAACATAAGAAGAATCGAGTTTGAAAAAATACATTGGTAACATATACCAGATATATTTGAAAAGTCATTGACAAGACACATACCAGACATCAAAAAGTATGTTAGAAATTCCACTACTTTCCTCAGAGCAACGGTCTGACTTCTTGTAGCAAGGATACGAACTGGAGGCCATCGGCAGCCAACGCGTGGAGACGAGGATGAACGCTGTTCTAGACCTTTTTCTTCTCGAGTTCCTTTTTGCTCCAGATATCAGCAAATGCCAAGGTGCCAGCAAAGACAAGAAAGGCCCCTATCCAGTGTTGGCCTGAAGAATAGATTCTGCCATGAAGGACGTTCAAGTTATCCGTAAACTGCGTGGAGTTCGCAGGAACGAAAGCAAAACAAGACTGCATACCAAAACTAACAGAAAAATCAGAATTTACCTGTGAAAGGATTCTGGAACCACCAAATGGAAACAACCAGAGAAAGAAACTTCCTCAACGTAACCACAAGGGTAACAGTGAGTGCTTCCACCTCGGAATTCAGCCGGTATACAAAACGAATACAGTAGTATCTGAACAGAAATATGAGTTACTCCTCAACTTCAGCACATGAATTTTGTAGCCCACTGTAGAATGCAGCTGAGCAGAAGATTCATCCAAAGTGAAGGGATTGGAAGGGTAAGGCCGAGGAGCTCAAACGGAGCACTCTAAACGCTAACTGAGAATGTGGAAAGCGACAAGATTCGTGAAAGAATACCCGACTGAACTTCCTTGCTGCAGCCATGATGTCAGATCCCATCAGCGAAAACAACGGCAATGATACCGCATGCTGAAAAGCAAAAATCCACAATATTGTAAATCTGAACGTTACATAACTCAACGACTGCAAAAGCTGACTTATACTCAAAACACTGACAGCCTTGTGCTGACATCAGTGATTTCTATCAGATAGAGAAAAAAATTTAAAAAAGCACGATATACACTGTACAGACGCGTTCTTCCGGAACTAGGCAGGTATGAAAAAACTTACAATGACAAACATTGCTTCCTCTGGATACTTTCCGTAGGTTTCGTACATGCGTTGTTGGCAGATGGCTAAGTATGCAGACGCCAAAAGAGCAAAAATAAGCATCCCGATGCCTAAATTAATGTCTTGTGCAGCACAGAAAACACACAATCAGTCAGGAAGCACTTATTATGAACTTGCAACTGAAAATTTTGAATGCACTCACCAATCATCCATTCTTGATAATGTTTTGCTGCTTCTTCATAGCTCAGTCCAGAATGCTGGAAGAAGAAGATGAAATATTCACTGAAGAACAGATGAAGATGGGAAGAAAGAAAAATCAGAAACCTCCAATTATCTTTTAGCTTGCGCCAGAAAAAAAAATAGAAAAAAAGATATTTTGAAAAATCTTTAAATGATAGTAAGCTGCAAAGAAATAGAAAAAGATGATATTTTGAAAATTCTTTAAATGATAGTGAGCTGTACCTTTTCGAGATCACTTGTTGCGAGTGTACATATAACGATTCCTATGGTGATAGCAAAAACTGAGAGATACTTTCTAAGCGAGTATTTCTTTTTAAGAAGAATCACAGATAGCATGAGATTAGCAAGCAATGAACCCTGAACGATAACTATATGTTTTTGCTTTTCTAAGAAAAACAAACACTTACCGAACGAAATATGATATGTAAAGGCACAGGAACATGAAAGTTTAAGGCTTGATTGTTTATTACATTTACAGTAAAGAATGTGATCACAGTCGGTATGTATCCTCTGAAAAAACATAGTTAGGATTGTTAAAGTGCATTTCGTATCAAAAGCAGTGTCATCGAGAGGGTGAAGCCAAGTTTACAGCAACACTAACAAGAAAATGGTCAGAAACCGAGGTGACCAATCTAAAAATGCTGCCTACCATTAGATGCAGCATAAAACGCTGACTTCGAATCTGTCTTCCATATCCGCTTAGCACCTTTGTGGGCGAAGTTATGAGCCGCCAAAGGTTGTTATTTTGCTGAGAGATTGTGCATGCAAAGCGCAAATTTGACAATACAAAGTCATGATCGGCTTAATGTGGACCAAAACATGCAGCTAAGTTACTTCATATTTTTTAAGCCTTAAGTGAGCTGAAAGTGCAACAACGCGTTCAATTTCGAATTTTATGTACGAAATAAAACTGCTCATAACTTCGTCCGCAAAGGCGCTTAGCAGATATGGAATACAGATTCGAAAAGAACGTTTACTGCTGCATCGAGTGGTAGGCAGCTTGCTTAGATTGGTCTCTTCGATTTTGACCACTCCCTTATAAGCGCTGTTTGCTAGACTTTTGCTCCAGATCACCCAACCCGGTTTTCTTCTCTCATAGTTCGCCTATGAATCGACATATTTTCCAAAGCAGTATTATTGGTTCCGAAAGCGCGCAAATGAAGCATTAAATTTGAAGATATTTACTACAGACATGAACTCCCTCAAATATAGATCCAGCATTTCTTTCTAATAATGGGATAATCCAACTCTCGAATTTCCTTATTTACTGTATTCGATACGCTTTTCTATTTCACAATACCCGTACATAATGGGCCGCGCCCAGTACTTTCTGTGCAGATGCAAACTTTTCATTCCGGCTGCGTCAAGGAAGTGTCAAGCTCTAGCGTCTTCTCAAGCTTGGCAACTTTGGTGACATTGAGACCCTCATTGAGACAGTGTATAATTACATTCACTCCATAACTTCATGTGATGATTTATAGCAAATAACAACATCTATGACTAAAACATAAGGTAAACAGCCTACCTGAGAGGTATCTTATTGGGGACGGAGAAGAACTTTGACGTGAAAAACAATCCTTGAGTAGCAATAAATAGAAAGGTGGAAAATGTCATAAGATTCATAGATGTAGGCTCCGCCCTAAACTGATTGTTTCAATATGAAAAATAACTGAAAAGTTCAGAAAGGAGATGAAAAAACTCTTCCTTGCACCTTACTTGGCAATTTTTTCGACGAAGACCATGCATCCCATGCATCCGCCAAGAACTCCCAAGATACTGGTTGCAGGAGAGGACATTGCTGTTGCAATTTGTTGGGAGTTTCTGGAAGTTATAAGCAACGCATCTGTGTAAACATTAGCATCTGTATGAGCTGTGCGCTTAATAGGAAATCACGTTTTGCACATACAAAAAGTATGAAGTGATATGAACTTTTCCAGCAAGATAGTACAGGGGCATAGCTCACTCAAGGATTGTTCTCAAGGCAGTAGAAAGTTAGCGAAATGTTTCGACAAGACGAGATTGTGATCGATGACAGACCGCAATCGTGTGCGCAATGACCTTCACACACATTTCCAGCGTGAACATCGGGTCAGCAAGATACGATACTGGTAAGGGGATTAAAATGTTCACATTACTTTCACTAGACTATAGCTTGGGTGAATGCCAATAATTTCTCAGAACGAGATCTGTCGACTCGCATTAGGCCTCGGACACACTTCCGATTTCGTCATCTCGCTATTCCCTCTACAAGACAAATGTTACATGTTCATTGCATGTCGATCATCTTGCATTCGGGTAATAGTCAATTATTACTAGAAGTGTCGGAAAACTATCACAGCGGAAATGCAAGATGATCGGCATGCTGGAATCGTAACAGTCGTCTTGTCGAGTGAATCGCGAGGCGATGAAATCGCGTGAACTATGCCCGAGGCCTTAGACAATTTGAAGAAAGATGGAGATAGGAAAACATGCGTTCTACAAAATACAAATGTGAATTAAGTTGAAGCTGATCTGTTGATCAGTTTGTCATTGTAGATATGTCTCATCAAAAAATTAATAAATGACAGAGACGAAAAAAGGAGAAAGAAAAAAAGAAAACACGCAAGGATCCACAAGCCTTGGTGAGCGACGACTATGCGCCCTTGAGACAATGTTCACTTTCGTTCTCTCTCCAAAGATTTCAAAGAATCGCTAGTAGGAACACAATATGGCATTCAGCGAGCTAGACCTGTCGTAGAAGTATTTGTGTGGTAACGAATTATGCGCCCTTTACGTACGAAGCCCAGACTTCAAATTCATGTCACCAACCCGAAGTAGGTTCAGTTTCATACACCTTTCACGCCCGTTGCGTTAAACAAAGAACAATGTAATCAGAAACTATCCTTCTTCTCGCCTCTTTAAGCCGTAAGGCAAACAACTATCAAACTCCTACAAACCCATTTCGATTACAGTGTCCAAGCCACCTTTCTCTAGAAATTATACAGGCCAAAAACTTGCTCAGCACTAGCCTTCCCTTTCTTCTTATATCTCATTTCGGGATTTTCATACTAACACTCGAAAAGCTACGGTCTCGCTTATTCACATCTATAAACTACTCGTCCAATTTAGGGTCTCCTTTCCGTGCAAGATTTTACACCCATTTCCTATCAATGATCAAATTGTATGGTTTCTAGCAATTATTTGGAAAATGGGTAATGCATCTCCTACATTAAAAGCAGTAGTTCTGAGATTTTGCTACGGTAGATACCCAGAAAGAACCTACCAAACTGGCAGATGAGGATATGTCTTCGAAAAGGAAGAAGTCGGGAGCTTCTGTCCCAAAATGTGCGATTACACAACAACTCCTTCATGTAGCGCGAACGTCTATTCTACAAAACCCATCTACAGGCTCCTAAACTGAGAGTCGTTTGCACCAGCGGTCGCGCCGCGTCGCGCCCGGGCATTTTGCCGGCGCCGGCGCATCGATCGAGGCGGCGCCATTGATGCCCGGGCGCGACGCAGTCGCGCGACCGCTGTGCAAACGACTCTGCAATTTAGGAGCCCTGTAGAGAAAGATGAGTGGTAACATCAGGCTCTCAAGCACTTTTTACAGAGGCAAATTCTTAAGAATGAAGAAACAGAAAAAAATTATGGAAAGATAAAATTTGCGCATCTTTGTCAAATGGGCTGCTCTCATCCAAACCAGTCGACTTATATTAGCAGTAGGCGCACACTGCATAAACGTAGACCACTGTTTTTCGAAAGCGTGTTGTGTTTGCGGCATCACCATAACAGGATTCCCGTGTAGTTTGTTCCAGCACAAAGCCCAAGACACACTTTTCTTATCAGACGATGCATTGTTTCCCTACTCCAATCCAATGAGAAAGAATGATCAACACAATGTGGCAGTTCTGTCACTTGCAACTTGAATTTACTTGATAAACACAGTCATGCCAAAATTTGATACTCAAATATATTTATGCAGTGGCTATAACACATATCAAGCTGTAGTATTGTTATAAGATGAAATATTTATTGAAATAATTATAAACTTCAATCGGCCGTTGCGCACTACCAACTTATTGACATGACAAGCAGTTAGCATGCAAGTAACAGTGAGAAAAATGAGAAAAAAAATAAAAAGGGAGACGTAAGAGGCGATATATTTAGAGTCGTCGCATGCAGAAGCTGCCGTCGCTTACGACCAAGGCCTTTTATGAAAAAAAAAACATCAGAAGGTATAAGGATGAGAGCGCGCTTAATCAGAAAGACGCACACATCGTCCGCAACGACAACCCTTCCTGCGTGCGACAACTCGCCTATACGTACATCACCGCCGGAGAAGGGTTGGGACTTGCTAAATGGTTTATTTATGGTCTTCAAATGTGTAGCTTACGCACTTTGCATTTTCATTTCCGTAGATCTTTATAGTCCAACTTCATTCCATTCATCAGCATCCACAAGCATGCTACGAAACGTACAAGTATGCTAGTTGCTTTGCATGATCCCCACCCCACGCCTTATAACTCCTCTGCCCGACAGGGATGTGCGTGCATACAATACAAGATTGTAAATGAAAAAAGTAGATATCTATAACAAATCTAGCATAAAAAATCAATCCCGAGAAAAAGAAAGGCACCAGTTGCTGAGTAGGTAGGAACAAGCAATTATAAAAGTTTCACAGGAGCTCCATCTCCTGTAGTCACCAGTGGCTTGGTGGAAGTCTCAACCACCATTGCTGCTATATCATAGTTTCGTATGGGATCAGGAGTGAAGTAATTCATTAAAACCTACAACCGATGAGGCGATCATCAAATCTCACACCCTAAAGCTAAACAAACAATACTTACCTCTTTCCATTTACGCACAGTCCGCCTGTTGATGCTCAGCGATCCTGGCTCTGTATACTCCAAAATAAATGCTGGAAGCAACATGATCAACGGAAGCGATACTCAAGAGCAACTCTTACCTGTAGCAGATAAGACGGGTAGAGAATTTCCGTCAATACAAACCACCCTCCCGAGAGAGTTTTGACAATTTTTGCCATTGCAGAACAACTAAAACAAGAATCCTAAGCAAACATTTGATTTTAGTTGGCATAACCGCCTCCGCCCTCTGTCCACACACTAGGATAATTATCGCCGTTCTCCATTTCCATCACCATCCCTCTGCATTTATGTCACTTCCCAGTCCCACTATGTTTCAGTCAGCAAGCGCCCTTACCCCCTAAACAACTCCCGATGCCCCAGCACAAAGTTTGCAAAAAATCGATGCACTCAAAGACGATCGATAACTGTGAGGATGATTACTGGATTTGCAATCAGTGAATCTACTTAGCTATAGCTCAGAGTTTGCAAAAAATCGATTGAATCAATAAAAGCAGTAGGCATTATCAAAGCGATTATCTTCGCAATCACTGCACACTTACCTCTTATGCCAACTCCGACCTGTAGCTCAAAGATTGCAAAATCGACGAAATCGAAAGATGTGATCGATGGTTTTAAAGCATTACAGTGTACAGTAAGGGACCCGTCATACTTCGCCGAAAAAAGCCCAGAAAAGCCCGAAAACCGAAACGCCCTTTCCCTTTTGACGCTAAGACATGTGTGTTGATTTCGCAACCGAGCCTTTTTGCTTCATTTTCTGTCGCCTTCAAAATAATGTCAGATTTCTACCGAGAGTTCGTTTCTGCGTTTCGGCTCTTTCGAGCTTTTTCGGCTTTCTTTTTTGGGCACTTTTGGGCTTTTTTCGCGAACTATGACGGGTCCCTAACCAGCATGCTCCCTTTACTCCACCCCCCCTCCCATCTGCCCCCCACTCTGAGCCCCACAGCTCAAAGTTTGCAAAACCAAAAATTTGACAAAAGCAACAGTAATTTTGAAGGTGAGTACTTCGTTATCGGCATGCTCACTCACCTCTCTGGGCCCAGCCCCGTAGCACACGTTCTTCTAAAAAAAATCAAGAGTAGATATGGACCGAGAACGAAAGGTAGCCAACCCACCTCCCCTTCCCCCCCTCACCCCCTCGAAGCGCATTCGGAACGTACAGTAGGTTTCATCCGGAATTAGCCGGAACATTCCACAAAGAGCGGCGCGTGCGCACCGCTGAGGCTTCGCGAGCGCACAACGCTGGCAATTTGCCAGGCAAAGACTATTATCGGGTAGGGGAACGAAAGCCGCCAGTTTGAGCCGCCTTTCGCATCCAACTGGTCCTTTCGCAGTGTTGTTGCATGTCGTTTCAGGACCAGCAGTCCGCGGAGTCGGCCCAAACTGGCGGCTTTCGTTCCCCCGCCCGGAAAAATGAACGCAGACCTCAGGTCTTAGCACGCTATGGTTTGTAGCTGCGAAACGGCGCGAGCCGTCGCGAGGCGCACGCTCGCCAGGGGTAGAGGAACGAACGCCTCAATCAGGTATCGCCTTCGCGGGCTGCTTGCTGGTCCTTTCGTCCTACTGTTGTGCATCGTGTTGGGACCAGTGGTCCGCGGAGGCGGTGCCTAATTGAGGCGTTCGTTCCTCCACCCGCTCGCCAGTCCAATTTCCGGGAGGTAGGTCAAAACTTACTGTACGTACACACACACAAAGCTTTATACATACCATAATGAGCGCAATTCGCTGCAAGATGCTTCTTATTCAAAAAAGATGTCTACATTTATGGAAAGGTAAATGTCCAGAGGATATAGAAAATATGGTGAAAAATTTAACGCGAAAACTGTTTAGTGGCAGGGAATGGAAGCACAATTTCAAACGACATGTAGGCCAAAATCGAAATTTTTAGTTTTTTGGACTGCTTGCATGTCTCCTGTTCTCCATAAATCTGCATAAAAGAGAATTTTAATGAAACAAAACCAAACAAACTGACCTTCGCGATTGCTCCATACTTGAGCTCTCTTGCATCTTCACTGAGCTTCACCTTCTTTGTCTTCGACCAAAAAGACGGATTGCAGACGCAATACTGGGTCTTGTTGGTCTTGATGTCTTTTGAAGTGCACAATAACGTATCGCATTTACTTAATATCGTATTTTCATGCCGAATGAATGCTATAATGAAGCATTCTAGTACTTACCTACATAACAATTTGTAGACGATTCCCAGCTTCTCTTGCGCAGCTATTCTTTGTGATTTAGCGATATCTTCCCTCTGGATTTCAGCCCATAACTCCTCTCTTGCTTTTCCAACCTGAGTAATCAATCATAGATTCTACCTCACAAATTTTGCGTTCCCTACCCGACCAATAAGGTTAACCCGGTTTTCTTCGATAGCACAAAGAACTTGGTTCATCAGCTTTTCCTAGAAAGAACTTCGAGCATCTCAACTTATGCCAGTGTTCTACCTTGAGAACGTTCTTTTCTTCCTGTTCTTTCAGCTTCAAACTTTGTGTTATCAAAATACTGCGAGACTTTTGGGCTCGTCCGCGACCTCAAACCCATGCGCTTAGTAGAAAAGGTTATGATTGTATGACAAAAATGCTTACAAGCTGCAGGTATGCCCACCTCTCCTTTGGACATGTGCGATCTCATTACTGGCATAATTGTACTTGATCACAAGGTTACATTCTGCGACGTCAAGGCCTTCTTCAGCCACCGATGTTGCTACGAGGACGCGCGTTTCCCCGTTTTTAAACCTGAACTCTGCAGCATAACGAATCTGCAGTGTTCATGAACGCGAACCTCTGCAATTTATCCCTTTGTTCTCGCTTCGTCGAAGTTTCATATGCACCTTTACCAGTTCCTAAAATGGTACAGAAATCATATCAACATATATGGAAAAATAATATATTATGCAGTATGCAATTAACAGAAGCTTAGTAAACTATGAGTTTTGAGCGATAATGAAAAAGAGGTGCAAGCTGACCTGAGATGGATTCAGTACGAAGTCCGTTCAAATTCGAATTAGTGTTTAGTAAGTCTGCCAGGATAGAAGCACTCAAACGAGTTCGCACAAAGATGATGGCCCGGAAGTCCATATCTTTGTTGGCCAATAATTGCCTGAAAACTTGGTTGAGCATAAACTTCAACCAGGTATAATACTGCGAGATTTTGAGAAAATATACCCATTTCTGACATTGTTGTGTAAGGCTTACTTTCTTCTATTTGTGCCGCATGTTTTCTTTAAAAGCAAACATCTCAACATCTGCGCCGGTGGTAAAAAGAATACCTGCATTACAGACCGCCTGGACGACCGCTGGTCCGAGCACGATATGCTCTAGCATATGCAAAAAACAGTCCGTGGGGATGAAGCCTGTTGCAATGTCTAGACAAATCTGAGCGCAAGGATTTTTTGTGTGGAAACAGATGAGGGGTCCCAACTAAGGCAGTCCCCAAGTAGCACAAATGACCCATTCACGGAAGAGCTTCTTTCTTCGGTTGTTTTAGACTGCCGCACTGACCGCAGCAGACTGTAGCTGAGCACACTGACCGCAGCTGACTGCAGCAGACTGCAGCTGACCGCATTGACCGCGGTGCCGAACAAATCGCTACATCCTTTCGTGAAAGTGGAGAAGATGAATAGTTGTAGCCCAAACAGTCTCTTAACAATATATGCCCCGATAGACAACACGAGCGGGAGTAAAATAGGTATATTCAATGACAAAAGGAATTTGAACAAATATGAGCATATTAGTGACAATCGCCACAATTTGATTAGAAGAGCAAGTTAGAACCTATCAACCTTCTAGACGTAAATCATGGTGTTTTGATGTATTCGCAACTATTTTCTCTTCTACGAAAGGATGCAGCAATTGTGCGGCCACTGCGGCCATTGCGGTCAGTGCGGTCAGCTGCAGTCTGCCACAGTCAGTGCAGTCAGCTGCAGTCAGTGCGGCAGTATGAAACAACCCTTCTTTATCCTCGCCATTGTCCCGCGCGGACAGGGTCGACTGTGGCGCATTGCTTCCATTTGCTCGATCAGCTGCTTCTTGCGGTTTGAGCTTCGCAATGTGTAGGCCGTTTCGAATGGTGTCCAACCAGCATTGTTTCGATCGGCTACGTGGTCTTTTCCCCTGTGGATCTAGACGAAGTGCTATTTTTGCTACTGTATTATCTTCTCTTCGTAAAAGGTGAACATACCATCGTAATCTGGCACCTCGCATCTTATCCGCGATAGATGCTACTCCGAAAATATGTCGCACATCAGCGTTCACGACGCAGTTTCTTCCCGTTAGGCCGCACATCCATCTTATCACTTCGTCTCCATCGTACTCAGGATCTGCTCGTGTTTCCTAGTTGCTGGCCAAACTCGGCTCCGTACAGGGGTGACTGGCCTTACCACAGTCCGGTACACTTTCGACTTGAGATATACTGAAATTCGGCGGTCGCAGAGTACTCCTGTTACTTGCCGCCACTTTCACGCCGCGTTCGTCCTAACACGAGCATCAGTGATCGTGTCGCAATCCAACGTCACTCTGTAGCCCAGGTATTTGAATGACCTTCTTGAATGGAATGGTGACCTTCTTCAACAACTGCCCATCGATGCTAATTGTGCCATCGGTTTGCTCTCCGCAATCCAAGTACTCGATCTTTGCTACGTTCAGTCGAAGGCCATATTTCGCTAAACGTGTCTACCATCTCACGGTCGCCTATTCAAGCTCCCGTCTCGTTTCGCTTGCTAGCTCGACGTCAGCCGCGTAAAGGAGCGTCCACGGGTGCGGCAGGTGAGTGTCCCTGGTCACCGTGTCCATGCACAGTACAAAGAGAAGTGGTGATAGAGCCGATCCTTGATGTACTCCGACTTGACTTGGGAATGGCGTTGACGTTCTCACTGCACAGCGTACGGCGCCCGTCGTATTCGTGTAGAGAAAGTTGATCCAGCGGATGTACTCTTCTGGGACGTCGTGCTGTCTCAGCGCATACTAGATCAACCCGTATGGTATCCGTTCAAATGCCTTTTCTAAATCCAAGAATGTGAAATGAATCGGAATCCGTTCCTCCAAATGACCTTCCATTAGCAATCGTACTGCATGGATGGCGTCAATGGTTTCCAGATCCTTTTACAAAGCCGCACTGGTTTGGGGTGACTTCCATTATACTTCGGATGCGTGCGTCGATGACTCGTCCGAAGATCTTCATCGTGTGGCACAGCAAGCGTATCGAGCGATATGTTAAGTCGCTGACATCGCCCTTTTTCTTTCAGATAGGGACTGTAACGTCGTAGTCCAGATTCGCAACACCTACCCGTCGACTCATTCACGGACGAGCATTATGCTCAAACCCTCCGGACGCGCCATGACCGCCGACAGGTCAGCGCAAACCAGCGCTAATTTCAGCAAAGTCACTCGTGAATTACAGCCATGGCACAAGGTCTGGGGACCAGTTGCTCGGTCGTGAATAGCTCACTTGCACTGCCGTTTGAGCAGTGCCCTAGTTAAGACCACCTCATCAGTTTCCACACAAAATTTCGTATGCCCACGTTTGTCTGAACATGTTTTTGAGGTCGTTCCTCTGCCCCCACCGTGTATAACAGACGACTTTCATCGGCTTGCATGAGTATTTGCGCAGGGAGCCGTCTCCAGGGGAGTTAGTGCGCAATAGCATGCAACGATGCAGGTGGTCCGCTGAATACGTTAGGAACAGATTTGGAAGGAACTTTGCAGATAAATCGTTCGCACTGCCTTTGGAAGTGTTCTTGCTGAAGGCGGCGTCTCGGCAAAATGATGGACGCTGCAGTGGCAGACTCCCCAACTAATCTCTCAGTGAAGGAGTGAAGGCCGGAGGGGAAAAGCGCGTTTGGGAAGACTGAAATCCCTTCCGAGAGCTTCGAAAAAAGCTCATTTTTGCCATTTTCATGCGCTGCAACGTCCAGATATGGATTCAGCATAGAGAATGTAAAAAGATGAAGAACCGAACAGTGCGATTTTGCCGGGACACCGCCTTTAAGGTTTTCGATCAAAATCCACAGACACATATGTCGAGATTGGACACTGAGGAGGTAACCTAACACACATTGCGAGAAATGTGGACATTTATGCGAACCTCTTTCTATACATCCACTTTCTCACAACAAGCATCATCGCGGCAGTTAAAATGACTATAGTATTCACATGCAATGAGTCTAGGCAAAGAAGTGCATGCGTATTTATCTCTACCCATACATATGTACCCCCCCCCCCCCTCCCCTGACGATCTCTCTCTTTTTGAATGTAAGTAAGTTTGAAAGATTCAAGTATTTTCTACCGTACGAAATCAAGGTGCAGTAAACATACAAGTAGATTAGATAGATTATGAGCAGCAATCAAAATGATAGCATACTTGACTAATTCTGATATTAGAACATTGTCCGAGGTTCGATAAGGGAATAGCTTCTTCGAGTATTCTGAAAATGACTTGATATATATAGCACTAAGAGGAATTCTAATATAATTACTATGTATGAATGTCTCAAACCTTTCCAAAGTTCTCTTGAGAAATCAGTAAGTGATGCATTTCTTTCAGTCATTGCTTCGCTGAGATACTTGTAAGCGACAATAGTTGAAAAATCCTGGTACATTTCAATCGTTCGGTAAAGATCCTGTAAATTATTGACTGTCAGAATGTGACAATGTTGCGATGCATAACTTACGTGAAGGATCTCCAACAATTCAATTGCTTCAGTCTTTGCCGACTCGGTAACAAACTGCATCTCCGGTACGATACGTCGCAAATGTGTGCTTACCCAATTTAAATAACCTAAACATTTACATACATCTCCACCCTGCAGTGATGAAAAACACTTTGTTGAGACCTTGTTGTCTTCTATAATACTTCACTCCCTAAATCAGCAAAATGAAGTGAAGACAGAATATTGTATCTTTCAGATGTATTCTCGTACTCATAAGAAATAGTACGATCCTATCGATAATATTAGGTTGAACCGAAAGTTCTGTCGTACCATTTTCAAAAAATCATAACTTCTTTCGGTCACGACGATTTTGCGCAATTCAAATTTTGTCTGAAAGCGTGGAGCATGTAGTTTCTAAAAGCTTCCTGGGGAGCTTCCGACATGCTCAGGTGGCAGAGATAAAAATGATAGAACGAGATCATCCGAAACTCGGAATTTTTAAGCAAGAATTCTAAAAATTCAGAAACAGTGCGATAAAATCCAGAAAAGCCATTATCCTAATTTTTCTTACATTTAATTACTATTTGAGTTAAGTTTCTGTCGATCGAGGTCTTCTTTCAGAAGTTATGAATTTTTGAAAAAAAAATGCCAAAAAATCCTAAGAATTCTTAGGAAATTGATTTTTCGGCATTATTTTTCAAAAAATCATAACTTTTGAAAGAAGGGCTCGATCAGCACAAACTTGACTCAGGTAGTAATCAAATGTAAGAAAAATTAGGATAATGGCTTTTCTGGATTTTATCGCACTGTTTCTGAATTTTTAGAATTCTTGCTTAAAAATTCCGAATTTCGGATGATCTCGTTCTTTAATTTTTATCTCTGCCAACTGAGCATGTCGGAAACTCCCCAGGGAGCTTTTAGAAACTACATGCTTCACGCTTTCAGACAAAATTTGAATTGCGCAAAATCGTCGGGATCGAAAGAAGTTATGATTTTTTGAAAATGGTGCGACAGAACTTTCGGTTCTACCTAATAATTTACCCAAAACCTAATCATTTGTCTTCCCTTCATTAATTCAGTCAAAATGCCACACCAAAAGAAGAAGTTTTATTAAGTTACGGCTTACATCATTCAATAGCACAAACCTCATAAGATTGTTTGAAACTACTCCGCTTTATGGCTTTTGATATTTCATCTCCTTCAGACGTAAACTAAGGTCCCAATAACCCAGACCCTCTACAGGTTCTGCGAAAATTCTAGTTCTACACTGTGAATTTGAATTGAAGCCAGCTTTACAAACTGCTACCTGAAGTTTCCTCTTGATAAGAGAGAAATTCACAGTCAAACAGTGTATACATACTTTTGAGAGACCCTTTTAAGCTTGTAGGGCGCTAACGCTGAATATGATAAATCCTACTAGGACGACCTTAAAACTGACTGACCCTGCAAGCGTTTGGCGTCGGGTGCTCTCTCAAACGTTGTATAGACAACATAATTGCGGTCTTCATTCTCTTCACCGTAACCTCTCGACGGCGACTTGCTCGCGACGTGCGGGCCGTGATTCTCTGAGATAAATTGAGGACAGGATTTTGCCTTGGAACGTTTCGCTTTACTAAGTGGAGATTTCAAAGATTCGCATACCTACAATTTCATACAACCTAGCCTCGAATAGTGTCATAAGGTCGCACAGGATATCTACAAAGATGGCGCGAGAATGACCAACTTCGTCTTCGCGTAAGATAATCTCTAGAAAAATCAAAATCGTATTTGAGTGAGTGAGTGTTACTAGAATATATCCTGCTTCTCACCGTCCGCCACAATGGGAGAATATTTCCGAAGCTCTTCATTATTTATTCGCACGGTACTGATAGCCTGAAAGTGGAAAAAAATTCATAAAATGAGTGTCACCGCTACTAACCACACAATCTAGGGATGCACAGAGGCGCACGACATGGTTCACAGCATCAGCTTCATTGGAAGCACCTCCAACCCCAAGTGATGCAGTCAACCCAATGACCTGTAAGAGATGCAAAAGAGCAAAGAAATCAAGGAGTATAGGAGATACCTGCGGCAGGCTGTACCCGGGCTTCATTCTTTTAGAAAACTTGAGACGGTGATAGAATCTCATCAGCACTAAAACGCTGCATTGAGATAACTGCTGTCAATATCCGGTAAGCTTCTCATTTTAATTATGCTACGAGAGTTCCTTCGCCTGCAGGGTGGATATTTATGAAGAGAATGAGGTGATTTCGATAGAGCAACGAAAGCTCCACAGACTCTCCAATCCGCTGATTGAGGCTATCGCTAGAGCTACAAAACAAAGTCTAAAGAATTTAAGCACAAAAAATAGGTATTTCGCACGGGGAAATCCTACGAAAATCCTACTTGATCACCATATAACAATGGGGGTCCGAGCATAGTTGCGATAGAGGGAGTGATGGACCTTACCCCCTTCACTTTGAGGCCAGACTCCCGATGACCCCCTTCACCTGGGCTGAGATTGGTATTGCACTCTGAGAATATGATAAAAATTGTTATTAAAAGGTTCTGCAGGCTAAGTACCTTAAACAACAAGTACATTCATAAATTTACAAAAGAAACGGTATTTATGTTTATTTATGTTATTTATTTATCCTCGTAGCATTCATTTGGAGAGCAGAAAGTGCGGACACAAAATCAGTTAATTTTTGAAGCACATAAAATCTCTCATATCTCGCGGCACAGAAGATCTAGAAAAAAGTCGACGGTCTAGGTCGATTCTCCATGATTTCAGCTTTCGAATGGTATACAGCATGTTAGGGCTTCTTTGCTTCCCGGCTCTAAAAATCATTTGCTCCGGTAACCGATAAAAGCCAATACATTGGTGGAGCTGGGTGGAGCTTCGCTAATAGTAAATATCTCCACCCCATTTTTAAAAACTGGTCAGTTTTTTCGCCCAGCAACCTATATACCATTCGAAAGCTCAGGAAAAGGGGATTCGACCTAGACCGTCGACTTCTTCCTAGCCCCCCTCTACCGAGAGATACACCGCATTTTATCTGAAAACATGGTCATTTTCAACAGCAGATTTCTGCCAAATGAAGACCTAATCACTGCCGATTATCTATCTGTGTTAAAGAGCAAGTCTTCATTAACAAACGTAGACCGTCGACTCTCTCGTAGCATTCATTTGGAGAGCAGAAAGTGCGGACACATAATCAGTTAATTTTTGAAGCACATAAAATCTCTCATATCTCGCGGCACAGAAGATCTAGAAAAAAGTCGACGGTCTAGGTCGATTCTCCATGATCTCAGCTTTCGAATGGTATACAGCATGTTAGGGCTTCTTTGCTTCCCGGCTCTAAAAATCATTTGCTCCGGTAACCGATAAAAGCCAATACATTGGTGGAGCTGGGTGGAGCTTCGCTAATAGTAAATATCTCCACCCCATTTTTGAAAACTGGTCAGTTTTTTCGCCCAGCAACTTATATACCATTCGAAAGCTCAGGAAAAGGGGATTCGACCTAGACCGTCGACTTCTTTCTAGCCCCCCTCTACCGAGAGATACACCGCATTTTATCTGAAAACATGGTCATTTTCAACAGCACATTTCTGCCAAATGAAGATGCCGATTATCTATCTGTGTTAAAGAGCAAGTCTTCATTAACAAACGTAGACCGTCGACTTTCTCGTAGCCTTCATTTGGAGAGCAGAAAGTGAGGACAAAGAAGCAGTTAATTTTTGGAGTACATAAAATCCCTCATATCTCGCGGCACAGAAGACCTAGAAAAAAGTCGACGGTCTAGATCGATTCTCCATGATCTCAGCTTTCGAATGGTATACAGCATGTTAGGGCTTCTTTGCTTCCCGGCTCTAAAAATTATTTGATCCCGTGACCCATAAAAGCCTACACATTGTATAGGTCGTCCCAAAAGTTCTTGCGCATGATTTTCAAAAATTCATAACTTTTGATTTTTCCAACCGATTTAACTGCTTTTATTTTCATATGAAATAGTAAGTCATGTTTCTTATAATGACATCTTATTTGCTTACTAATGGTCATCTGTTGCATAGAGAGCGATAGAAGAATATTGGTCAAAATTTGAATTTTTCGTGTAGGGTCATAAAAAATCGGAAACTTGCAACAAAATCGGAGCAGTCGGGATTGTAGTTTCTTTTACCAGCTCTTTCCAACAGTGCAAAGTTTGCGCCGATTGAGGGTCTCTATGAAAAGGTATGATTTTCGAGCAAGCATTACAAAAGGGCGAATTTGGTTTATTTTGGCGTTTTTCAGGGAAATCATAACTTTCCATAGAAACGCTCAATCGGCGCAAACTTTGCACCGTTAGAGAGATCTGGTGAAAGAACCTACAATACTGACTGCTCCGATTTTTGTTGCAAGTCTCCTATTTTTTATGACTACACAGAAAATCCAAATCTTGTCCATTTTTCTTCTATCGCTCCTATCTATGCAACAGATGACCATTACTAAGCAGCTGAGATGTCGTTATAAAGAGCATGACTTACCCTTTCACATAAAAGTGAAAGCAGTCAAATCGGTTGGAAAAATCAGTAGTTATGAATTTTTGAAAATCGTGTGCAAAAACTTTCGGGACGACCTAATAAGAGCGAGGTGGAGCAAGTTAATAGTAAAAAATGTGCTGTGTTTCGACATCTTTGTCAGCACTAACGGGAACGTGAGCGAACGCGTCTATTTAAGCGTGCTTATCGTTGTTATATGTTTATGTTTTTTTAGTAAAAAATGCGCTTTTGATTGACAGTTATGCCATCATTATTAGCACACACTCAAAAAACTATGGGAGATTGGTGAATTTCCACACCTTCACACAAAAACCCGCCCATTTCTGGAGTCTATACTCTGTAAACCTAATGCTGAAAAGTTCACTTTCATGAAAACGCTCTAGACTCACTTTACCTAATTTGTAGAGAATGGTTGGTTTCAATGAATCAAAACTTTAAGACATTCAGAAGAATAACATGTTATTAAAATATCGCTTATTGTTTTGGAAAGGTTGGCAGTCTGAAGAAGAAACGGCAGGTAGAATACTTTACAAAATCGCAGATGACTCGCATGTGTTCCAGTTCAACAGCGAGGCAGAAGGAGACGCCGATGAAAATGTTGTCGACATTAATACAGAGTTGACAATCGAGCGAAACTCTCTGATTTCCTACATAAGGAATCCAAGCAGACTGCCTTGTTTCAATGAGGAAATGTCCAGGAAGTCCATTGCTGAATCTTCAGGTTGCTGAAGATTTCAAAGCTGCTAAATTCACAAACTTGGATATGAACAAAAGGAAGGTGTTAGTACAAAGCATAGCTACTGCACTTAAATCCCGGCTGGAGTGCGAACCCAACTCTGTGCTTTATGCTTTTGGAAGTTATTCGCCTTGTGACATTATGACCTACGATATTGAAAGAAAAACCAACGCGCAGCATAGTATCTACTTTTTTCGGCTATTCCGCAGATGCTGTTAAAGAAGAAGTTGAGCAACTTTCTCATCAGTTAACAGGACGTATGCAAGAGGAGGTGAAGCCAGAGTTTGACAAGGCCCAAAAAAGTATGCAATATTTCCTTCCCGTGTTGCGAAAGCATGTGCGATCTCGCTCTTTCTTCATTACTTACCGCAAAAATCTGATAAACTTACTAGCAAAGCTAGTTTCCATTCCGACTAGCACGGCAGAGGTGGAGAAAGAAAATTTTCTATCTACTTTGTTATCAGAACACAACGCAAAAGTCGTGCAACGATGGAGCATCTAAGCAATTACTTGAGGTTTGTCAACCTTCTACTAAACATATTGTTATCTAAAAAATTCATTTAAAGGATTGGTATAAGTGGTCCAGACAGGCTGTTACTTATGACTTTTTAAAATATTCTAAAAGATGGTATGAAGAAACTGGTTACCTACCTGCTGACTTTCCTGTTGCTACCAGAGGGCCAGGAAAAAAATCACAAAAGCGCTTAGAAGAAGAAGAAAGTTTCAAATCCATTTTCGACTCAGTACGCTTTTGCAAGCAATTCTACTTCTACTCCGATGACCTTTTGGAGGAAGAAGATTTTTCAGGCAGCGAACTTGTTGTCTCTGACGTTAGCGATAGTGATATTGTTGATGATGTGCAGAAACTGAAGTTGCTCCTATCTTGTACATCTTTTGGGATAAACCTTATTGCTTTCGTTTTTTGTTGATGCAATGAAATAGGAGCACAGATCTTCATAAAGTCAATTTTAAAATTTTTAATTTCATTTAAAATTTTTAATTTTTTTTTCAATTTGTGCTTAATAAGGTAGAAATTAGAGTTCTTCATACCACGCTTTTTTACCTTTTGTCTCTTCCTCCCCCCCCCTAGACTCACATACCCCCTTCACCCTGGAAGTCGGGAACAGCCGAGATCCCTTTCACCTGGGGAGAGCCCGGCTCCCCCTATCGCACCTATGGGTCCGAGACATTTGCAGGAGGATCAGCTGTCGTATATTCGTGAATTAAAGCCAAGGCGTTAGCGTCGCGCTCCGAAAAATGCCTCCCAAAACTTCAACGAACTATATCTTCAAGAAAAGGATGCGTGCTTAGCTACTTTACAAATTATTTTTGTATCCAGCAGTGGCGGTCCGAGGGGGCGGGGGGGGGCCTCAAGAATGGGCCACGGAATTTTTGGAATTTACTTAAATGGGTTATAAAAATGTGCAGGTGACTTGTTTGTTCTTGTAACTGATAAAAATAACTGAAATTTTTAAATTCAAATTAGTTTTATAAAAAAAATTTCTTCTGGGGCGTGACTGTCGCCACGCTCCATTTTCTAGATTTTAGGGGTTATGGACCCGCAAAAATTTTCAAAACGACCCAAAACTTTTTTCGGAGTGCGTGGGTTTAGCCTTGCATCTAAAAAAATTTTTTGCCGCCCCCTCCCTTTCCAGACGGAAATCCTGGGACCGTCACTAGCGTCCAGATATCGAGAAAACGGCTCCTCAGCTGCCTCTGGGGCGTTATCACCTGAGTAGTTCTACATTGAGCACTGGTTCTCCGAGAATTCAAAATTCGAATTTCGAAAAATTCGAAAAAAAAATGTCGTTTTGTACGTGTGATTTTTGCATATTCGGCTTTTTTTTTCACAATACAAGCCGCAGGACAAATTCTGGCTTTTTCAAAATTAGTGTGTCTACTAGATAACACTTAGTAGCGAGCTTACATAATTATATCAAATGGAGCTACAATTCTCAAGATAAGCGGATACTCAGAATTCTAGCTACAAGCTTTAAAGAGCACGATTTATGCAGGTGTCTAGTCTAACATCTAGTAGAGCTTGCTGTTCACTCGAACAGAAAAGCATGAGTATCACAAAGTAAACCGGTACACGGAGGTCATTTGCGGAGACCTGATAGTACTACGCAAGTTTCTTAACGTTTCCGAGACAAGGCACAATGTGATGGTCCAAAAAAGTGTTACCAGTATTATTTCTGGCATGTACTGAACCGTAATGACAGGAAATTGGTTAGATATGCTTGCATACAGCACCAAATCGTTTTGAGGAAGCAAGAATGGTTACATATTGAAGCTTGAGCCGATACTGACAAGCAGAGGATACTTAGTCGAAAACATCAATCCAGATGAGACATACATCATCTTAGAGCGCTTTAAACGTTGATTCCAAATTTGCAGTTTCTAGCTGCGGAGCGGCTTTGTAGAGGGAGTTATGAGGGGTGTTTCCTCTGGGGTTGAGGCGCCCTCCACCAGGTTCTCCCCTTACCTACGAGCACTGTAGAGGAGTACCAACTGGTGGCAACTGACCTAGTGGTAAGTGACTGTTTGATAAAGAGAGTGTCAAAGTTTTAATCCCCATCGCATATTAAATTGAACTTCTAAATGGCTTTAGAGCCCTAAAGCATGAAACTTCTGATGATATTGATACTAATCGAAGTTAGAAGTGCTAAAAACCAAAGTAATATGAGAATCATAAACTTTACTGCAATCTTCATTCAAGTTACTTACCATCAGGTCAGTTGCCATCAGCTGATACTCCTCTAGAGTGCTTACAGTAAGGGGAGGCCGCTGGAGAGCGCTTAAACCCCAGAACACCCTTCATAACTCCTTCTACAAAACCGCTCCGTAGCTAAAAACTGCAGATTTGGAATCAGAGTTTCAAGCGCTTTAAGATGATATATGTCTCATCTGGATTGGTGCTTTCGACTAAGTACCCTCTCCTAGTGAGAGTGATCGAAATATGTTTATTATAATTTTAAAATGTGGTCGTTATAGTATGGGGCAATGTCTGAAAATGCTATGCTTCAGGGCAGAAGTTGCGCGCAAAAGGGTATCTTGGCGTTTTGAGCGCTATTCGGAAAGTATTCAGTACCTGCATAGGAAGAATTCTTGACAGTACGGTGACATTCATCGAGTACCAGCATGGTGAAAGTGGTGAGATCAAATGGGCTCTGGACTACCTCTTCCAACTCGTTCGAAAAATCCTCATTGAGTAGGTTTCTGCAATGACACTAGACGAGATGAGACAGGAAGGAAAAGTACTGAATCAACGTGAAAACTTCTTCCACGTTCCCTCTTGCTTCATGAAAAGCAAGTCGCTCAGGATCACTTTTATCCAAAATGAGCGCTAATGAGCGCTCTTATAGACCAAAAAGATAATCGATTGAGGAACTTTCAAACATAGTCTTTCTTCTTTTCAGCTTCTCCATGCACTGTGGAGGAGCAACATCTGCCACGCCTTCCAAAGTTTTCCGGAACAATCCTATTAGTTTAATCACAAGATACAACCAAAAGCGACAGGTCCGGCACAACATACCCTTTGATTCAACCGGGTTGGACTGAAAGGCGGGGCTTCATGACCTAATTAAGGCTAGATAATGATCAAAGAGCACGCGCACGAGAAAGACGCGGACTACGCCGCGGACGCTAGCGGCCTTAATTAGGTCACAATGCTCCGCCTTCCAGCCGCCAAGCCAGTTGAAGTAAAGGATAATCACGCGTTGTCGTATCACCAAACCTTGCTGAAAGCTTTCAGCTGTTCGTCTTTCTCTTTGGCATACAAAATCGAGGCGAAAACAGGCACAGAGCCTGTCTCATCTGCAGTGTCCATTTCGGTTCGGCTGCGATGCGCAGCATGTGCACGTGCCACCTCTGATCGATGAGACCTATTCGACTTCCCAAGAAACAGCTTGCGGATGCTGCATGAGGCTCTCACGAGGCGGAAGTTCCAACCAAACAATGAATCTAGGATTGTGGTAGACTGCCGCTGCACTCTGCGCGTTCTGATTGCCCATTTTCAGCAATTTGTACACAAGCTAGAATATCCTCGTAAAAATAACTAACACGATTAGCTGAGGGGTTGCAACCAACACATCTTTTGCAGAGATTACTTGCCGTAGAGGAATATTATCTGATCCTTGAGCCGCAAGTACCTGAATTAGAGTACAATGACATACAACATAACATGAGATAATACAAGGCAACAGCATACCTCATATCGGTGACCCAGAAATTTTTGAAGAGAACCAGCCTGTTGCTGTAGGATAACCGTGTTTGGCGTCAAAAACAACACCTGTAAAGCTTTAAATTGTAAACTGAGATTCGGTAGGAAGTGAACAGCGTTCAGATGCATTTTGGAGACAACACATCAGTGTGCACATAAATCAAGGCAATAATTACTCTGTGTGCAAACTAATTTTATAACTAAATTGATGCAAACTAACTTTTCATTAATAAAAAAATCTGAAATTGTTATAATATATTCTTGAACAAAAATGCTGATACGCCTTCTCACGTCTCACGCATGACTCCAAAAAATTTTCCCTAAAACCAACAACGTCACGCACCTTGGCAGATCTTTCTGTGTTAGTCCAAGCATTGAAGTGACTTTTAATGATGTAGGCGGCCACTATGGTTTTGCCCGATCCAGTTGGAGCAGCGATTATAGCATTTTCACCTGTCAAAGCTCTTTCGCAGAGCTCCTTTTGATAATTACGCAAAAGGATCGGAGTTTCTGAAAAGGAGTAAAATGCATAATAAGAGAAGGCTTACAATTTGAAGGGTAGCGCCACACTAGCTTATGCTTGGGAATCAAAGTCTCAGTTGTTGGGCCGCTATGTTTCCGGCTTTCTGCTGACCGCGACCGTTTCGCACATGCAGGGTCGGGTATCTCATCTGAATCCCAAGTAAAAGCAACCATGACGTACCCTAAGCAGTGACCTGCATGTTCTCGATTCTCGATGGATTTCAGTAATCGATAAATGAGGTTGTTCTTGCTCGACGATGCTGGTGGCAGGTCTTCGTAGTTCAGATTATATTGATACTTTCTGCAAGTATTAGAATGGGTTGCAAGGATAAGAGCTCCCCCACCAAAACTGAGAGGAAACACACTTAGAATTATTTGAGGTGTTGACAACATCGGCCACGGGAACTCCGATAGGGCAGAAAGTGACTGTTCCTCTCTGTGAATTTCTTTCTTTATCCAGTAACTCTGTAAGGAAAAAATGAAACAAAATATCTTCAACTGCTGTTGCTGTAGGTCCCACTATCGCTAAACCTCGACAATTTTTCAACAATAGATGAGTTCAGCTACTATACTGTGCAATACAGATTGTTATGGTGGTAATCTACTGCACTGCCCAGTCGGCGTATCAATGGGGAGAGTGCAAGTCCTTTGCCTAGATACTTTATCGAACGTTTACTTGAAAAGAGGGTACTGTTATTCGAAGAGACCATTCAAAGTGAGATGTATACAACTAAGCGTGATATGGAATCATCTCAAATCTGTCATCCTTTTCTGCGAGCCGCTTATTTGAAAAAAGCTAAAAGGTCACAAAAAATTTACAAGCACGCTGGTTGGGATTCGAGATTAACGATGGCTCTCCCAGCCGCTAGTCGACACATGCTGCAGTGCTCCAGTACTACCACGGTCGGATTCAATCAAAAAAGATGTCGCAAATAAGATGTCAGCTTTGAAGTAGATTTCATCAGAATTCGGCGACATACACCTCATCTCATATGGCCACCTTGACCAAAAAACAAATTCTTGTGAGAAAAAATGTGATCAGATTGAGCCCTTTAAAATACGTAAACCGCTTTGTAGTTGAAGATGGATATATTTCTGTTGGGGAGAGAGGAAGGTGAGCTGAGAAGGGATGCGTTATACTTCGCCGCTCTGGATATCTGTATACTTCTTTGTGTAACTATCCTGTGGAAGCTCATACTCCCTGAGCATAATGGATGGAATGTTCCCTACAAGCTGATTTTCACCATTGTATGTGCGATTCTCCCAGGGCTCTCATTGGATTGTGAACTCAGCCCATGTTTCCAAAGTCGTCTATCCTCCTTTAGGTAATCACAAATGTAAAAAATCTCGATTAAAACGTCCTAAAGTTGTACTAAGGTGGCAATGCAAAGCATGTTTTCAATGACAAAAGGACGCAGGTTGCGAGTTTTTCGACAAACCTTGCGTACGGTGTTCGATGATGCAGGACTCACTTATTTTTACTATGAATGCCTATCAATGCCATAACAGATCCTCGTACAACTCCACAACCTTTCCAGCACCTTCGCCGATAATAGACGATTTCAAAACGGAGGGTGTTCCCCGGCGATCCCCAGTGGATCTCACAAAACAGTACAATTCTTGGCTTGTATGGGAGTGTGCCGGCATTCATTATGCTCAGATATCAGGTTATGACAATCTTCATAAGAGAGACAAACAAAAAAGGATACAGATAATCTGCGAGATATGACGCGACCCTTCCCTCCCCAGCAAAGATGTATGTGCATACGGGCCTTAAGGACCCAATCTGAACAAATAAGAATTCTTCTTACCGTAGTAGCGAAGGAAATTTGGGTATAGGCGATTGACAAAGGTTTTAGCTTCTTCTGAAACATCATACATCGGACGCAACAGATCATAGATAGCGTAGTAACCCAAAAGGGGTATCGTTTTCAAAACCATTTTTTTCTTGATTTCCAAAGCTTCGTCCTCTGGAATTGTCACTGATAACACACGAAAAGACAATGCGATATGACTAGACCTCTCCAGCTTTTCTCCAAGGTGGAAGTGATCAGAATGTAAGTAGATATCTTCTTTAGAAAATTGATAGTACTATCAACGTCCAAAAATTCTAGAAACTGGTCGACATTCGATAAAACTTTGCTGAAACACATCTTTCCAATTAGATCCCAGTCTCAAACAGTCAAATGCCTCCCACCTGAACTGACTTCTTGTATCATTCTCTGAAACAAAACACAGCGTTGAAAAGAGCTCTCCATCAACTGGAATGTTCAAAAATCAAGAAAAAAAAACTAAAAGATCTCTACGACGCTTGCCATTTTTGCTAAATTATCACTACATCAAGCAAAGCAGTAAGCAAATTACGCTGATGTCTCAAGCCGAAAGAATGCACCAAGGCTCGCACTTGTGCAATGCTATGTCCAGTGTTTACCTACACTTTGTCTCATTTGCGGTGACTTGAGCGACTCCAATCACGCTCAGTCGCCTCGCTTGGGCTTACCGCGTGTTCGAACGTGTTCTCTGACCTTCTCCCATGCCTACAAAAGCTCTACACTGGACCCCGTCCCACGCCCATGCGTGAGAAAATAATCACGACACGCGCACGACACGCAGGATCCAGGCGAGGTGGCAGCATGAAACCCATGCCGCTCGAAGCTCACCACAAACGAGACAGAGGGTTTTCGCATGAGACTGATATTCCACAACCCCAACCTTGCCCGGACACTGTCTTTGTTGCTTGTTATAGATTTTCGAGCTGAATCCACATTAAGGACCGAATGCATTGACACTCCACAGGAAACGTGATCGCAGCTCGAAGAAGAGCTTCATGTGCTGAAGCTCCAGACGTCCGGATCTCACGCTATCTCTTTGTGAGAATTCCTACTAGCATTTTCCAGCTTTTTGTATGATCCCCGGCGGCCAATCTTATATATAAAGCTGAATGTCTGTTTGTCTGTATGTCTGTCTGTATGTATGTCTGTCTGTCTGTACGTATGTTCCGAATAGAAAATTCCATTTCTGAACCGATCGGGACCAAACTTGGCACACATACACTTCGGGCCCCGGCGGGTGTCATAGGCTACTTTTCGTCATCGATCGATGTCAATTTTATCGATTTTTTGCAAAATTTGAGCTAGGGGGCTGGAATTTGGCAGGGGGCAGCAGCAGCAGTCCGGATCGGTTAAGAAATGGAATTTCTATTCGGAACATACGGCGGAGCCGGGTAAGCCAGCTAGTCTTATATATAAAGCTGAATGTCTGTATGTCTGTCTGTCTGTATGTCTGTTCTGTCTGTCTGCACGTATGTTCCGAATAGAAAATTCCATTTCTGAACCGATCCGGACCAAACTTGGCACACATACACTACGGGCCCAGGCGGGTGTCATAGCCTACTTTTCGTCATCGATCGATATCGATTTTATCGATTTTTTGCAAAGTTTGAGCTACGGGGCTGGGAGTTGGCACAGGGGTGTAATCGAGCATGCTGATCACCCCCACGGTCGATTACCCCCCTGTGCCAACTCCCAGCCCCGTAGCTCAAACTTTGCAAAAAATCGATATCGATCGATAAAGAAAAGTGGACCGTGACACCCGCCGGGGCCCGAATTGTATGTGTATGTGTGCCAAGTTTGGTCCGGATCGGTTAAGGAATGGAATTTTCTATTCGGAACATACGGCGGAGCCGGGTAAGCCAGCTAGTTGCTGATAAGAACAAACGAGTCTAAAATATCAAAGTTTTCGATAAACCCCAACTTTCGACTTGTGGTTCATCGCTATTATACTTTCAATACATCATTTGTTCTCAGAAACATGCTTAGGCACTATTGGATTAGATAAACTAGTACAATTTTGAGAAGATTTCGCTAACTTTCATGGAAGAAAATGACTTCAATGAAAAACGGTCGACCGCCAGGGATCATAAAAATTGCAAAATGTGGCTCGTACAACTTCTCGCTTCTGTTCAATTTGTTCATAGCAAAAATAGTTGGGAATACCTATGGCTAGGTAAGCTTCAGATATCTGGGCAGCGCGTCCAGAAATCTGGAGCTTCAGGATATGAAGCTCTCTTTCAAGCTGCGATCCCCTCCTCGGGATGTTAATGTATGTCACCCTCAACCTTATTTCGTACCTTCGCAAGCGTACCTCTGGATAAATAATCGAGGATAATTTCGTACAGCACATTCTTCATAGGAGACGTGGTTAAGGCCTCCCATAATTTGTTGGTGAATTCCAGTTCGCTTTGACAATCCATGCTTAACTCCTCAATTTTGTTCAATTCGAGCAATTCCGGGATTCGGCCACCCTAAAAATAATAACATTATATTAGGTCGTCCCGAAAGTTTTGTCGGTTTTTTCAGACCACTATGAGACCATGCACAATGAAGATCTGAATGAGCTTTAGCATGTATTCGATGCAGCTTTTCCTTCTCTTTCTTGTGGTTACATTTTCGAACCACAATCCTGTACAGTCTGCCCCAATCCCAACCAGGCCAAAATTGGCATGGCGGGAGTCCGCTTCGCTAAGGTTTTGGGGTCACGCCCACGGCCTGCTTCTCTACTCTCTCTCCAATCCTCTTGCTCTCTCCAACAGCGCGCATATGCAGCGCAAACGCTTGGCGCTGCGAGCGCGCAAATCTACGCCGCCGGTTCGGCCTGCTCCCAATTCTCAGACAGTTGGAGCGTGCGGCGCACGCGCGTTTATGGTCAATGCGGCAAAGCGCGTGCCTTATTTGTGGGCGTGTCCGGCAGTACGCCATACGCATGCCATCCTAAATAATTGGTGCATGCGGCGCGCGCACTAATGGCGAACACCGCGACCCGCGCGCTACGTTTATGTTCGATCTCGCGACCCCCGTGCCTAATTTTTTAGCACGCCGCGCGCGTGCCTTTATACTTTACCCGTGCGGCCCGCGCGCCTGCAATTATACGTGCTGTAAGCGCAAGGGATACCCGCGTAGTGTACGACGCAGGGTCAGGCTGCCTCATCATCCAGCAGGTTTGATGTCACATCCTAGTGTATGAGTAGTTGCAGAAACGGAAATTGTTTTTTGCTTCCAAACGTTATTCGGTAGCACTGTGGATGGGCCCTGGAACCGAATTTTTAGATTCGAATACGAACTCATATTGTTAGCGTATGAGGTGTGGAGTTGATTATCAAGACCTGCGACATATAGCGCAATGAGAAAGTGGAAAATGGCAGCCATCCGCGGGCCAGCAGCAGCGGCGCGGCATCCAACGTCCCGCCATCCGCGGACTGGGTGTTGCGCCACCCTGTGATTGCACGCGCGCTGCACGCTCCAAGTGTCTGAGTTGGAGCAGACTGTTTGCTTTCTTTGGTAATTGCTAAAATTCTTCACCCGTCATTTTTGTCTGCTCAAAGTTCGGCTAATTTTTGAGAATTTCATTTCAAATTTTCGGAAAGGGTTAAGTAAGTTAAATAGACCAATTCCCGGACTACAAGAAGATGCTTTTAGATTCCACTAATCTGCTGATTTTTGCTTCAAAAAATTATTTTTTCGAAGGTCTCGATTTTTGGCAAAGTCATGAAACAAGCAACTGCAGCAAAAACATGAAAACTTCTGAAGTTTCTGCGAATTGCAACATGATTCTTATTAAACATTATTTATGCAACATTACCCAGTTTGACTTGCTCTAAAAAAGCAGCTTTTTGCAATTTTCGGTACTTTTCGTGAAGCCCCACCTTCCAGCAGACAGTCTGGTTGAAGCAAAGGATAGGTGGTTCTGAGGGTCTCGAAGTGCAATGAGTTAAAAATTTATGATCACAGGACTCTTTGCAATAGCTACTTCTTTCAAAGCTTATGTTACAAGATGTTTTTGATAGATCACTTGCTGTTACATTCATCATCGAGTCTTCATTTGGTAGTAATTGAAGTTTGAAGTGAAAAGACACAGCGATTTGCTGCACTTTTGGATAAGCCAATCCTATGCCCCATCCATCTCCTCTTCCCCAACAAAAACTCACGAATTGTGCAATTGAATCTCGCTTATTTGTTGACGGTTGCGGATAAAAGTTGGGTGATTGACATCATCTAATTATGAACAATGATAAATCTGTAAAGAGAACAATATGAACGCGAGAACGTACCGTATCAGGAGCGTAGTACAATGGTGCAAGGCGTTTAGTGATTTCATACGAGTATAAATGAATTAATGCAAGCTTTTGCTTTGCACTCATTGCCATGATAGCTGAAGGAGAACACCCTGAAACGACCTCGAATAAATTACAGAAATGTGAGCACAGGCGTTGTGCGAGCGTCTGCGAGGAACACTAAGAAGCAATGGAGGTTTCTCGTCATTTGCAACATAGCGAACTCGCATAAACATATCTGATGCATATAAGAGACATATCAAGGCTGAAGGGAGCAATATTTGATGACTCAGTTCATAACAAAGGTGATACACGTTCAACGAGTATGAATTATCGGATTTCGCAACCACGATTAGCGCACACCACGCCTCGTTTTGAAAATTATCAGCTGATGTATCAGAAGCAAGACAGAATTATAGAAGGCCGGAAAGCATTGGGCTACCGTTTGGAAATTAGGCGTCGATTCAATTCGATGTTCGTAGACACACCATAATCCAAATTTGACTTTACTCGACGCCTAAATTTCGGCGTATGGTAGGGATCGGCAGTACTATTCCTGCTATTCCTACGGTTCCTGCGATTCCTGCGATTCCCGCACAGTTTAGGCGCCGCTCAAATGAGCGTATGTTGCGTAAAACAGCACGTATCACGCAACACGCGCTCATTTAAGCGGCGCCTATACTGTGCGGGAATCACAGGAATCGCAGGAATCGCAGGAATCATAGAAATAGCAGGAATAGTATGGCCGATCCGTAGGCGCCAGATTAAGCGACTATTTCGTTCAGCTGCAAAAGGCGCGCAGAATTAATGTTTGCTGCTAATGTTTGCTGCTGCTAAGGCATGTTTCAGCTGCAGGGCGCAAGTCAACGTTAATTCTGTGCGCCTTTTGCAGCTGAACAAAATGTTCGCTCGGTGGATGACTACACGTCGCCGAACTTGGAAGAGTCCCGCGCGGATTCCCTGCAGGAACGCGTCCGCGCATGTACAAGGGTGCGTATCTGTCGCAAATGACCACGGGGACTGCCCTTTTTCGGCGACACATAGTCCTCTACCCATATTCGCTTGGTCTGGCACCTACCTACAGTCTGCCCCAATCGGGATCAGACCGAACCGTCGACTGAATTTGCGCGCTCGCAGCGCTAGGGGTTTGCGCTGCATACGCGCGCTGTCGCAGATAGCGAAGAGATTGAAGAGAGAGCAGACCAGCTAGACGCGGAAGTGGCGCGAAAGCCTCGCGACGCGCACTCTCGCCAAGCCAATTTTGGCCTGGTTAGGATTGGGGCGGACTGTATGTGGCTGCTGTCTACGATCTAAGGTAAGAGACCAGATTCCAAAGCTCCAAAAGTTCTATCAGTTTGGTACGTTAGATAGAAATGTGTCGTTTGATGAAACTGTCACAAGTATCAATGCTGTTAGGAAATTTCTGAGCACAAATCGCAAAACTCGAGTGTAGTTGCGGGTCAAAAGTTAACAGGTTCCTCAATCAGGTCACTTATGATTTAGACGAGATTCTTTGAACTGCACAGAAAAATGGGCGCAGAAGGAAAAATTGCGAAATTTTTATGGTTGGAAAGATTTCCTTTTTGGTGCAGGTTAAACACGTCTTGGCATCGATAGAAATCAGAAGAGGTATTGAAGAACTTACGCTTCGCTCTATTGAGCACTATACGACACTTGGTGTCAAAGTCCGACCGAGCGCCAAAAAATGCGTTTGAAAATGAAGTTTTCAAAAGTGCCCGGAACATTCTTCATAACCTAAAAGTAAAATTACGTTTTTTTAGAATGAGAGGAAATTAATTGCATTTTTATCAGCCGGAGCGAATCAACAAGTTTATCAGTCAAATCAATCCCTTAATCTTTCCCTCAATCCCAATACCTCCCTCATATCGTAGTGCTAAGAAGAGTTAGGAAAAAGTCGACAGTCTACGTCGATTCTCCGCAGTCTCAGCTTTTGAAAAATATACAGCTTGGTGACGCCCTTCGTTTCCTGGCTTCATAGGTGCGATGGGGTGAACAGGGTCCCTCCAAAATGAAGGGTGTCTCGGCTGATTTTGACCCTCAAAAGTGAAGGGTGTCTAGGACCTGGGAGGGGGATAGTGAAAAAATTGCCACGTCGACCGGGGGGAGGGGTAAAAAAACGGTGAAAATCATAAAATTATCCAATTTAAATAGTCAAATTTCTGAATTGGATTAGTATGGAATATAATTAGTAAAATGTTTACAAGTACTTTCCTTTCGATTTATGTAAATATTATTGTACTTTTATACACCATTTTTCGGTAGAAATGCATGTTTAGGTGGATCGAAGGTGTAGTGTTGAATATGTTTCGACCGACAATCACATGAGCAGTGGAAACTGGGAGATACTCAAAGGCTGAGAAGGTGTTGAATGAAGTTTTACTTGGAACTCACAAATGTGGATAATGTTAATAAGAGACTCCGTGGTGATTATGGAATTATTGTTGCAAATAAATTCGTAAGTCTTTATCTAGGGAGTACAGTAAAAAAATTTGTTGCTCAATTGTGTCTAATGTGTCCACTTGAAGCACAATAAACATATACAATGTAGCACAGCTATATGAAGTATAATTGATGTTAGGAAAAACTCCTAGAGCAGTAAAGTTGAAACTGCGATATTGAATATTAAAGCAAGGTCAGCTTTTAGTATAAGCTCTCCATTATAACTCACGTATAATTGGGCTGAAGCAAATTCTGAACTAGATTCGGAATCTGGCCTTTAAAAGCTATACAACGATGTATAATTTGTGAGATTCAGTATCCTTGCCAGGTGAGATAGTTTCCAGAGGTCCAACGGTACCCGCGCCCCCCCCCCTCCAAGTCAGAGCCGCATATCTCTACGGTGAGGGCATTTCATGATTTAATTTTTTTGCATACCCAAGAGGGAGGTCCATTTGGTATTATCTATACCCTCGCAAAGGGATTCCGCGGGAGCGACTGACTTAAATTCTAAATTTACCTGTGTTTTCAAGCGCCTTTTATTCCTTACTGTAACTCTCCTTCGCTATATCCGATTACTCTGCGAGGGTATAGGTAAACTCAGTAAGCCATCCTCTGTAAGATGCAGAAAAAATTGGAGCATGAAATGCCCTCGTCGCCGAGATATGAAGCTGCAAGAAACCCACCATAAATCGATGTTTTTAATATAACTTGTGTAAGTAAATAAATCAAAACGGGAATAGTATAAGTCATACCCTCGATACATAGAGCCACGTACTCCGGTAACCTTCATTTTGAGGGCTATGAGGAGACACAACCTTCACCTGGAAAAAACAGAAGTCATCCGGGGCTTCGCCCTGGATGTTATTATCCTGATTATATCGGAACATGTTAATGAAGCAAATATAGGAAGTAATATCTTTAGTATCTCAGCGAAACTGAGAATTTGCGTTTTCATAGCCTTTTTTACCTTGAAAAAGAGGTTTTTGTGGGATTTTCGCCAGAATTCATAATAAAATTTCTTAGTTAGTCTCTTATTTGAACAAAATCGAGTTTCGGATGTTTAGGAAAGCTTTTGGAGTCAAATAAGAACGAGAAACTGCGCTTAAATTTTGCGCAGAGAGTCGCGCACGAAAACGCTGGTCTATCTCATTAATGAGTGACTTTCAAAGCTTGGGACATTGTCAGTTCTCCTCGTCGTGTCATGGCGATCAGAATGATATATAATGTTGCGGGGTTTCGTTCAGACCCCACGGAGATCTACGACCAGAGCCAAATGCCCCGTCGGCTCTGGTCTGTCTCCGCTGCTCGTCTGCGTCTCCGCGCGCTGCGCGCTACCTCGCTACCCCAAACGCGGGGCGCGGGGCATTTGGCTCTGGTACCCTTTTCTTCGCTGTTTCGAACCCAATTTTAGCAAGCTATATATCATTTTGAAGCCCTTGATCTCTATTTTCACGCTGACGACGTCCCAGGACCACATTTTTTGATTTGATCGAGAAATCCGGCAAAAACCTTGTTTTCGAAAATCTCTTGTTTTTCTCCTAGTTTAGCTATTTTCTCGCGGTTTTTTCGTGCATTCTATAGATCTTGCTTCTATTCATAATGCAGACAACCACCCAGCCTTTATCTCTTCGATTATTTGGAATTTTTTGCGAAAAATCGTAAAAAGTGCGTTTTTCTTTACCTTGTTCTGTTTCGGTGCTTTCGCATCGATTCTTTTCCAGCTTTGGCGATTGTTGCTCAGAACAATAAGCGCAACAATCCAGACAACGTCCCAGGAAACAGGAACGTCAATGAGGGGGTAAAAATTCAAAGGACGCATCAAAAATCAAAACCTCGTGTTGCGAATTGCTGGTCCTGAAGCGAAAACTTGCACTTTGAAAAGCCACCAAATGAAAGATTTCAAGCCTTATTGCAGCGTTTTTCTCCGGTTTTGAGCAGTTTCTTTTGCTTTTTACATTCGTTTTACGTATTCTTTACTTCTCTGATCTTTTATAAACAACCTTCACTTTTTTATGAGGGCAGATGTTCAAACAACCTTCACTTTTGACGCCCTGTCTCTAGACTATCGAAGGTATGGTATAAGTGGATTCATCTCCTCAAGAGCTTTCGAATAATGTATATATGTGGGGGTTTGATGCTTCCGGGTTGCGGGAAGGGGGGGGGTGATCGGCCTCAGTTATGCGTGATTACCCGCCGGCGCCTCTTCAATGCATTGAAGTGGCCGAAGGTGATCACCCTGAACTGAGGCTGATTACCCACCCTCGCAGGGCTTATAACATAGGACCCCTACATGCTACATATCAATCGAGAGCTCTTGATGAGTAGAATCTACTTTTACCCTTCACACTCAGATTCGTTCACACACACAAGTTATTTGCGAAAAATCGATTTTTGGAGACGTGATTTCTGCTCTATTTGTGACTTCATAACTCTAAGAGGAATTTTTTTAGGATCTAATTTTTTCTATGTGATAGAGGAAAGGTTCCTTACTAACGCATATACTCTCGCAAGATGACATTCTGCAACTTACTCAAGTTATGCTGACTCAAAAACTGACTTTCCTTAAATATGGCCAATATTGTGACTTCAACTGTGCTGCCCTAGAAATTTCCCCTGATATCACCTAACTATTTTTTATCAATGTTTTGGACTCTATATGT